GGTTGCTGATGAAGCATCCATCTACTTTCATGTCACTGGGTCCAGGTCTTTGCAGCAGGAGTTTAAGCAGAGATGTCCAGAACTCGTTCACCTCCTTCCGCTCCTCTAGGTAGACCCTGACGTGCTTTTGAGCAATCTAAGAAGCAGAATCTCTCTATCGCATCCTGGATCTCCTCCAGTTCGACATGCCTGAAATATCTCGTGTAGCAGTTGGGAGGCATCTGGAGGCGCCCCTGTAGAAACTGAGCTCCTCACCCTGTCTCTAAGAGAAAACCAGCACTCCTCAGAGTGTCACTAACCACTCCTTATCGGTTATAGGTGTGGGCAAGAATATATTGACTGTAGCCAGATTGAGAAGGTCTGGTCCACAGGCCACGTCTAACCTTTGGGACCTGTTTGGTTTTGTCCGTTTGCAGCTCAGCCGCCATCTTGGTCCGAATCCAGACAGTTATTTGAAGCCCCTAAATGACTGAATGGGAAGACAACACATGCACACAGGTTTGCACCGTTATGGCTGCATCCCACAGGAGAACCGAACAAACAGCATGTTTTGTTTCCGGTTTAAAACTCTCGAAGAGCTGCGCATCCAATAAGTTACATTAATAAACTCACCACCATCTTTACTAAGATCACATGTAGAGGCGTGCAGTGCAATGGGATGACTGGCTAATGCATTTGCTGTTTCAGCTGTTGATTGGCTTTTAAAGGCCAAGGCCACCAACTTTGGCATTTCAGAGCTCCTCCACAGATTTCTGTTCGGGATTGTTTTTGGGTGCCATGTCTCCTGGTCTGCGTGCCCCTCTGTCAAGTTTCTTCCCTATTTTTGCATTAATGTAGTTATTTTTAATGTCTTTTCTGCAGACATGAGGACTGTATTTCTGAGGGGTCGGGGGGGTCTGTTTTGAAACTTTGAATAAACGTTGACAAAGCCTTGAAGAGAAATTGTTGGTTTAAAAAAAACAAAAACAGGATCGGCTTGTTTATTCCTTTTTTTTTTTGGTTCCCTCTCAGAAATGACTCATGTCTCTGTGCATGTCACTGAGTTTAACGAATATCAACACTTCCTCACTGTTCCTTCCGTCCTTTTCCTCGTGCTTGTGCCAGCACCAGCTTTCAAGAAGAATCAACCTCTCACTTTCTTTCCTTTCTTACTTCCCCTCCTCACCATCAGCTCCAGCTGTGGGACACAGCCGGACAGGAGCGCTTTCGTAAATCCATGGTGCAACACTACTACCGTAACGTCCACGCGGTGCTCTTCATTTATGATGTCACCTCTCCTGCCAGCTTTAGCAGCCTGACTTCCTGGGTAGAAGAATGCCGGCAGCACTCCCTCGGCCAGGACATACCCAGGTACCTGCATCACTTCTCTGTGTGCAAAAGTGTTTGTTTAACTTGGACCAGACTCTTTGTGACGTTTCATTTCCTCGTCTCCTCTCAGATTCCTGGTGGGGAATAAGAGCGACCTCCGTGACCCCAAAAAGACTGACAGCCAGGTGAGCCAGGATCGGGCAATGAGCTTTTCCAAAGCCCACGGCATGATCTTCTTTGAGACATCTGCCAAGGATCCTCCAAAGAAAGGCACAAGTGGACAACAAGGTAGCAGGCAGGCACTGTATCAGCAGGATAATGTGGAGGACATCGTCACCGCTGTTAGCCTCAAGCTGAAGAGACAGAAGAAACTCCCGACAGCGAATTCCCTGGCGTACAGCGGCTCCTTTAGACTCGCTAACAAGAAGGCCGAGAAGGAGCCGATGACCTGCTGCTGAGAGCGAGGAGGACGAGGACATGCCAATCCAGTCACTCTCACACAGAACTTTAATATTTAAACTCTTAAAAATGCAAAACGTGCCACTCAGAAATTTAGTGTATATTTGTGATCTCAGTGTTTATAAAAGCTGCAAAATAAAATACTGTGAATGTAAACATGCAAGTGAGCTTTCGATGCAGTGACGCTGTTTGTTTTCAGCGTGTGTGGTCCCAGTGGCTGAGCTCAGGGTTTTCTCATTTCCCTGTTTTGTGCCTCCTTGTCTCCTCTTTCCTTCTTGTATCTCAGTGCCTACAGTGCGTCTCGAGGAGAGAGGAGGCTTTGCAGGAGCAGCTATGAGTGAGGAAGCACAGGTGTGTAATCTCCATCTGTGACGTATGCACAAATATGCAAACCACGGCAGGATGAGGACTCTATAAAAAGGTGTTTTATTTCTGTTTTTACGATGAATAAAATAATAAAAATGCATGATATTCACACATTGTTGTGACATTGTGCCCACTCTGCAAGTTGATTTAAAGCTAGAGAGATAATTTATCAGGAACTCTGATACACGTGTGACAGATCGCGAACTATAACGGTCTGCTTTCCCACATCACGTTTAATTCATGTAAAATAACAGCTCAGAAACAGGGCTGCGATTTACCAACATGGAGTAAATAGTCATGAAAATTTTGAGCCATGACTGTGGATTTAGAAACTGTCAGGCGATTACTTCTCACACATAAATACAGCGTTCTTTTTCTTTTTTAAAGTGGGTCCATAAGAAATTTTCTGTAAATTAAAAAAAGAATTCAGGTTTTAATTATATGACCAAGTCCAGGTAATGAGCTTTTGTGTATTTATTACTCAAAGTGTAAACCCAAGGAGCGGTGCAGGTGTGTTTATTTGAGGCAGTACTGTGGTTTCAGTGGCCAAACTGGGCTGTAAGTTTGACACCGCTGGTCTGGATGCTCTTTCTGTGAGTTTTCTCGTTTTGGAAATTCCAGCTGCAAAGATGTGAGCCGTCTCTGGGATGTGATGGCACCAAAATATAACTCCAGGCTTTTGGAAAAACTGACTCTTAGTGTGATATTGTGCAACGTCTTTTCTTCCTACTGTCACACCCACCAACCCTGGCACTGTGCCTCCATCTACCATAATGAGTCACCGTGTCATTTGGTTCAATAATATTCAAAAGAAAGCAAACATCTCGGCTTCTGATTTCTCCAGTGCTTAAAAACTTTGAGTCAAATCATCCTGTGCCAGGGGTGTCAAACATGCAGCCCATCCAAGGGTCACAGAGTGAAATTTACTCAGTTAAAATTTACTCAAATAGTTCCAATGAGATGAGAAGAAGAAGGAGGCGTGAAAGCATTTGGACACTTTACTGGAAAAACAAAGACATTAAACGTGGCGGTTTTTGCCTTTCCTCTGAATCTGATTTGTGGTAAACATGTACAGACTCACTGAATGTGGAAAATAATACATATTTTTCTCAAGACATTTCAGGCTGTTTATAAACAGATGCTTCATTAAATGTTTTCAGAATATACTTCTTTATCACAGAAAGGTCAAATTAGTTTTTATTGTTTTATCTAAATGGCTCTTTTCTGATAGATTCGATTAGTTAGAGGTTCTGGGGTAAAACTTCTTAAATGTAATCTTGTGGTGAGCTGGTCCTTTTCTCTGGAGGATAAAACATATTTAACACATATGTGATTCACTAAGTGTGTAATATGAGCTGGTGCTGTTTTGATGCATCACCATCTCATCCTGGCTGCCCGCGGACTCGGCAGCAGTCATGCTCGGGTCTTGTGCGTGATGTGGGCGTTGGAAAAGTGCATCACATGTGGTTTCACGACTTTGTCTAATTGATGATTCAGAGCTTGTCACATGATTAAGGACGTGTGCACACACGAAAGTATCACAGCTGTGCAACATTCAACAGCTCAGAAGTAGGCGTGTCTCTCTGAATGCAGGGAAGAGTGGAACCAGAGGAGAGGCTGCTTTCCTTAATCTGAGATTTTTAAGTAAAATCTTAATTGCTGTTTTTGTACGTTTACTGCACCTGTAAACTTACCAAAAGAAGCTCTATGAAGCTCCTGCAGGTGGTTCAAGAGAGGAAAGGCCTCCTGATAATTGGGGGTTTAGCTTGGAGCATGTAAACTTTGAACAGTTTTTAATGAGTTTTAAACTGGGGACTAAAAAATGACTTGGGAACTCAGTATGAAGCGAGTGTAGGGTCTGATGTTTTGCGGTTTAAAGCCCTACTACAACCTGTCTTTTCTAAGTCTTATAACACAATGTCCATTATATCAGAAAAATGCTAAGTCTGACTTTAATGAAAAATTACTCACTTTATCTCAAATTTCCACTTCAGCTACAGGTTTAAGGCTTTGCCGCGACCCTGCACACTGTAAAGATTCAATCATTTTATTTTACTTACAAAAATAATACAAAGTAATTGCCACAAAAAGGCCAAGTACTATTAACTATAAGCTATTCCTATTTTTTTTTAAATTAAAAGCCTTTTTACAAAGTTTTTAATTATTGTAAATATTTTATGATTGCAAAGTTGTGACCTGTTTTTGATTCGTGTGTATTGTGCGTCAATGTAATTGATATATGCATACTTATATTTTTACAAATGTAAAACCTTACAATGGATGGAACAGCCAAATTATGTGGACTTTTTTGCATCTACGTTCTTGTGTCATTAACTTTTGTCTTCTCTCTTCTGTGCTTAGTGTTTTGTATTTATGTCATCTGTCTTCCTTCACGTCCTAACTGCTCACAGCATTTGGCCTTGCTGAATCTGCCTCTGCTGGAGGTCGCTTCCTACTAAAAGGGACTTCTTCCTCCCCGCCATCGCCAAGTGCTTATGGAGGATCAACTGGACACAGATGAGTTTTTCGCTTTAATATTATGGTTTTTGTGATTTACACCTTTGAATATAAAGCACCTGTTGTTTTTGTGAGGTGGTACTAAATGAATAAAACCGAACATATTATGGGATGTTACACAGACCTTGCATATAAGTGATTACTGTCAGTTCAGGAGAAGTCAAACTTTGATAAAGTCTCACGTCCGCGTTGTGTTTTTATGGATGTCCAGATCTGATCTACAGGCCAGTCTTTTGTCCTTGACTCTGTCACTCCGTGCACACTCTGACAGAGATCGCATTACGCAACCAGAGCTGACGTTGTCATGCAACTGAACTAGAATGTGATGCGCTTAAAACCAGCCTGCGGGATCTCTCCTTCTCACAGTCACAGCTGAGAGAGAGGGCAGAATGATTTAATGAAGGAAGAGGGGGATTATATGATATATGGAGGTCAACATCTGCCTCAGAAGGATCCAAACACCAGGAGAAAATACAAATCACAGCTCTGCTCATTCTTTGGTGCTTCAGTTCCTGCTATTTGTGTTCTGTTAGATTCTCGTCTGCAGGGGGCGTGCTGGTGGAGCTGTCTGCTTTTGAATGGGGGTGTGCTCTGTTCCCATCAGCACTGGTAAGCAGCAGCTGAGCGCTTCCCATCATTTCGCTGTAAAACCTGCCGGAGAAAAACTCGCTTAGCTGCAGCTGATACCCGAGCAATCATGTTCTGCAGACGGGCATGGCAGAGAGTCGGGCCGCTGGCACGGAGGTCTTTCAAGCCGACACCCAGATACGGTGAGTCAGGACATTTAATGGGACTTTCCAGGAATTATTACTGTGGCGTTAATTAGAGTAATTAAGTAGAGTTTATAGAATAGTTGCGCTCGTTTATTTTCTGCTGCTGCCAGTTCAGTTTATTTTATTTTTTTTAATGATTTTGTGGGTTGAGAAAGGGAAAAGTAAAAGTCCAATAAAGAGACGCACTTGCGGGCTTTCCAGTCGAGCTGCAGCAGTCTGATAAAGAAGGTGTGTGCTCTGGGAACACACAGAAGTGTACCACTTGAAATATTACATATTTCAACTTTGTTACAATAAATAATAACTAATCCAATATTTGAACAAAAATAACAATTAAAGGCGATTCTTTATGATGCATCTAAGGAGTGTAGACGATGAAATCACGTCCTAAATCCAGTTTATCTGGATAACAACGTTTATAACCTATTAGTGAACAAAACATCTGTTTTTCAGAATAATTATTTTTAAAATCTGAATCCAGAGAGCGTGCAATGACGGATATTTCAGACTGGCTCTGTTTTCACGCATGCCTGCCTGCCTGGCCCGGATCATCCTTTAGTTTGGGATCAGAGCTTTGTGGAATTCAGCCCGAGGCAAAGCTGCTGCTTCTGCTGCTGCTGCTTTAATTTCCTGCTGAGAAAGCTGTGGCAAAATGCTGCAAACCAGGCTACATCTGGCCACGATAGAAGGTTTTTGTGTTTTTGAACTTACAAGCAGGTAAAAAAAAACAAAAAACTAAACCCCAGAAGATGTGAAAGAAAGGAGGTGAATACTGCTACTGCTTTCTAACTACACACCAGCTCGACACACTGCATCCTAAGTATGCAGCAGGTCCCTTCCTGTTTGACCATCATGTCCTCAGACATGTCTATCTTGTCTGCTGTTCCCTGACATGCGTGTCTATGTTTACAGGCTTGAACCCAGCAGCCAGGATTAAGTGATTACCTGTATAAATAACCTGTATAAGTAACCTGTCCCTGCACTGTGCTGCTGTGTCATTGGTATTAGAGCAGGAGGGAGGACAAACCTCAGCTCTGTTTTGGGTTTGTAATTCAGCGGAGCTGCAGTGAAACTTTGCACAGTGCTCTTAAATATAAAGTCAAAAACAGGGACAGCGAGTCGGCTTCGATAAAAGGTTGATGGGACGGTAAAAGCTGCAGCTTAGCACAAAGAGTGGGAAGAGGAGGGAAATGGTTCTGCCCAAAGATAAAAAATAATCTAAAAGCATCTCTAAAGCTCACTGAAGCCATTTTTACAACTCACGCATGAACTCCAGACGATGCTGAAGAGTCACTTTAGGAAACAGATGTAGCATATAAATGTAAAAGGTCTGTATGATGGCCAGACATACTAGCAATGCTAGAAGAACCCTGGTTTAGTCAGACAGTTGCCTGCAGTCATGCAGGTTTAACAGGACATGACACAGACTTTGTGTTATATGCATATATCCTGTTGGGACTTTTATGTGTTTTCTCACTGTTTACTTTCACTCAAAACTACCATCAAAGGTTTAAGCTCTGAAAGCTCATTGGTTAAGTTTAGGCACTGAAGGAAAAGCATGTTTGGTTAGGTTCTGGCAGAACAGCTAAACAATTACATCAATTCAGTTTAAAGCTTTTTGAAGCCAATGAATGAGGCTGTAGATAGAGTTAAGCCTTAGTGCTTTCTGGGTTCACGGTGTCATTTCAGCTACTTTAAAGGGAACACATTATGCTTTTATTTTTTATCTCTAGTGCTCTACAAGAGTAGCTTTGCTTGATCCACGGTTCAAAACAATCCTTCCTTCCAGAGCTGTGTGCCTGATGTAAGCGATGTCCGCTTTCACTGACATCATCCAGAGCCAACAGTAGAAAATAGTTTGAAGCAGGCTGAAGCTTGAACTTTTGGTTCACAGGAATTGTTTTCACCTCATAATTTAAAACCTTAGTAAATAGTAATATGCACATCCACCGTTCTAACAGTTAATATATGACAGAAAATGTGCAAAAGCATAATGGATCTCATTTAAGATTTCAAAATGTGTCTAGGCCATTTGGCGCAGTTCTTCTGAACCTGTGAGAACAAAGTGACGTTTATAAGAGAAGCCTTTTTCTTGTATTATTATTAAACCAGTTTCAACCTTGTGAAAAGCAGTGGCTGGCGAGGTATGTGCTGGATGACAAAGAACAATCGATAAAGTTTAAATGTCAGTCAGTGGAAAAGTCAAAAGTGACAGGATGGGTTAGGATTTGCATGAACACACACAAACAAAGAGGGGTGAGATGTGCTGCACCCTGTGTTCTGTGACTGCACACTCTCACAGTGTGTGAGAGTGAGAGGTCCAGATAGGAAGAGATTAGATTGAGGCTGTGTGATTTTTATTTATGCCAACCTGCTTGCACCACCTTTAAACACCAGCTGATCCTTTTGCAGCAGCACTCGTCACCAACACCACAGCAGCAGTCCTGATTTGTGCTAAATGACTATTCCATATGAATTTGAACCCATTGCTTTATGTTGTTTGTTTTGATGCAAATCTGAGATCATCATTCAGGAAGTCTTAGTGTTTGTGTAGTGTGTGTGTGCGTGTGTGCCGGGGGTTTAATTTAAGCAAAGATTCAGTGTTTGGCTTGGCTGCTGCTAAATCTTTCCATCTCCTCTGCTACAAATGACCGGGCTGTATTGTGTAACTGGATTAAGGGATGGAGACATGTTGACGCTTTTGATGCACTGTTCTTCGTGCCCGTCGTGCTTGTGATGGAGCGACAGTTTTCTGAACAAAATAAACTCACAAAGTATCAGAGCTGTAGTGGTTTCTATCCATGACTCTCCAGTATTAGTACTGATTCTCATTTTAAATGCACTTACGTGTGTTTATATAAATAAATGTCTTTATTACAAGCTCGCCGGATAACTGTACCCGTGTGTGTCTCTCCACAGCTCCAGTGCGACACATGGCCTTCGGTGTTCCTGGAGGCTCCACCAACATGACGTACTTTGTTTTATGTGGCGGCGGCCTCACTGCTGCAGTTGTTTATGTGAGTATCAGATCAGGTTATAGGCGATGGTTTGTAAGTCCACATTTTCACCGTGTGTGTACTGTTTTTGACTGCTGTAAGCAGGTGTTACACATGGATTTTTCAGGTGAGGAACCTGAACTTGTGCTACAGCGTGGGCAAAAGAAAATCTTTGCGATCATTTGTATTAATATTCATTATTTGTGTTGTTTTCCTTTATATGAGCCGTGATCAGCTGCCCTGTGTGCTGCTGCTCTGAGGTTTACTTCTCTTTCTTGATTTAGACAAGGTAATTCAGTAATAAGCAGGTGTTATACACTGATTTTGCACTTTCTACTCCAGATGCCCATCCTGCTGCCACCACAAAGGGATTCATGTCTAAATTGAACACTGATGACTGCTAACATCAATCTAACCCAGTTTTTTTCAAACTTTTCCTCACATTTCGTTTCAAAAGCTGAAAAAGTTCATGCCTCACAGCCTGTATTTTTTTTAATCAGTAGTTAAACATAAACAAATCCATGTTAAATTTCACATAAATAGAGGTGCATGTCATCAGTGCAGTAGCATCATTAAATTAATTTATTTCCCTTTCGAAGAAAATCATTTTCACCTGGTTGTTCATGTCCGATCAGAGGTGCCCATCCCAGAGTATGAGAACCTACAAGAACCACTGCGTGCTCTGCACCTGGCTTACCTCATCACTGCAAAATGAGGTTAACCTGCACAAGACCACCTAGTACTACAGATTCACTGTAGTTAACATGAATTACAACATTTTTTTTATTCTTGGCTCTGTGTGATGTCACTGGGAGAGGATATCCCTAATATGGTCATCTCTGGCACACAAGTCACCTGCTGCTTAAACACGTGGTTTACAGGAGACAGAATAATTAAATATTACTGCTGCACACATTCTCAATGAGAATAAATGTATTAATTCACAAAGTTTAGCTAAACGTGCAGCAGTTATATTCAGTTATTTCGTTAAAGACTTGTCATGTGTTCAGGTGTGCAGAGATTTTGAACTAGTTGTTTACGTGAAGAAAGTTTTCCAAAAGGGAGGGGGTGGTGGGGTTAAGATAGAGGATGAACGGAGAGGTTCAAGGTCCAATACAAGATGACTGAGGATTATTTTGAAGTGTTAGTCATGCAAAGCTAGTGCAAGAATAGAAACACAGAGCTGGAAATGAAAGTAATTCATCCCCCTTTTTCTACTTTTCAATAAATTCGTGTTTTTCAGTGTTATACAGGAGTGTAAAAAAGGTCTGCTCTCTTTTTACATCTTCAAAGAAACAAAATCCTCTAGTGCGTTTTTTGAATACTCATTCAAAACCAGAACAACAAGCTGCTGTACTGGATATATGCAGTTACCTGGTAGTTTTACAGGCTTCTGTCCTTGCTGGTGCAAACTGGGAGCGATGCAGTCTGAAGCCAGGCTGGTCTGCAGACGTTACCACAGCTCAGACGCTGGACGGGACAAAAGAGGCTCTTTGTGCTTTTTGACAATCTCTCCCTTTTTGCTGCCATTGTTCGGTCAAATTTGTCACCCATTCACCGTCAGGCTCTTGGCAAAGCAAACAAGTGTGTCTGACTGTGTTGGTCCATGTTGGACAAAATGTCAGCTTGAGGTTGGATTTTGTTTCGTGCCGTTATCATTAGCTGTGTGCTGGAATGTAATGAGTACATGTCTGCTGTGTTTCTCTCAGGCATACAAGACGGTCAACGATGATACCGAGCGTTACGAGGAAAGACTCGCCAACATGGGCTCCACGGCGAAGGGTTAGCTACTTTCTCACACACAAACACACACACACACACACTCAAAAACAAACACTGTTACCCACAACTCAGCTTTGTGAACATGACATTGTGCAAGCCGTACACGCTGCACAGACAAGACACACCGATTTCAACTTATGTGATCGCAGCTAAAGCAAGAGATGGTCTGATATGCAACTTAAAACACTAATTTCTTGTAAATTAAATGATTTTCAAACCTTCTATTTAACCAGTATGTGAAACTCAAGGATAGGCAGCACCAGCCTAGCTTGTTTTTGATAGTAGAAAAGCTGGAGATCCTACAGGAAACTCACACAGCCACAGTGAGAGAGTGCAAACTCCCCACAGAGCTCCCGTGTGTGGGTTCAAACACAGCGATGAATGAAGAGCCCCGAAACACCATCCATGACTGTAAAAGGACCGGTTTTATCAAAGAAATCCCTCACTGTGAGCCTCCTCTCTAAAACAGGTTAAAATGGTGCTACTTCAGCTTGTGCTATTAAGATTAAAATTCCCCAAGGTGTGACAGCCTGTCGGAGTCTGTAACTGTTTAATCGAAGACAGAGAAAGCAGAAAGGAAGAAGCGAATGTATTTCAGGGCTGATTCCAGCTTCACCAGCTGCACGGTAGACTGATCACTCTGAATGGCTTCATCGTGCCTGTCTGTTTTGATTTCTGTCTGCGCAATTTTTGTCTACTCAGCCCGGAGAGGCCATGGCGCTGTGCCCAGAGCCGTTAACTGTGCTGTAATGGTGCTAAGCAGCAGCTGTCAGTGGGTTAGTTGTGATCATGCAGCATTGAAGTGTTGTTTTCACTCCGAAATAAGAAGTCAAAGTGCTGCTGCTTACAGCGATGGAGAGGAAACCACCGCTGGTCTTTAAGGAGCTGAATGCACACATTAACCTGACGTGCTTTGCATCTATAACAAAGATGGGAAAGCTTTCCATAACATTTAGTGTGTTTAGGGGAGTTTTGACCATTCTTCCAGAAGTGCATTTCTGAGGTCAGACACCAATGATGGACGAGAAGGCCGACATCGCTGTGTTCATCCCAAAGGTGTTCTATCAGGTTGAGGTCAGGACTCTGTGCAGGCCAGTCAAGTTCTTCCACGCCAAACTCATCCATGTCTTTATGGACCTTGCCTCGTGCACTGCAGTGCAGTCATGTTGGAACAGGAAGGAGCCATCCCCAGACTGTTGCCACACAGTTAAACGTCTTACTGTGCTGAAGCATTAAGTTCTTTTCACTGGAGCTAAGGGGCCGAGCCCAGTTCCTGAAAACAAGCCGTGCACCATAAACCCCCCTACACCAAACCTTACACTTGGCACAATGCAGTCAGACAAGTCAGACAGTTGGCAACTCGCTCTGTGATTTTTCTTGGCCTACCACTTCAATGCTGAGTTTGTCATTCCCAATCACTTCCACTTTGTTATAATGCCCCCATAGTATATAGTGCTTGATTTTATACACCTGTGGCCATGGAAGTGAGTGGAACACCTGAGCTCCGTGAGTAAATACGTTTGGCAAAATAGTCCAAGTTCCTTGAAAGGAACAGTATAGACTGAAAGATTGACGTAGTTTACAGGTTTGAAAGGTGGGAGTTAAACCTGCATTCTTTCTAATGGCCAGTAGGGGGTGAATTGTGTCGCTGTAAAAACCAGTACAGTAAACAAAAATGTGAGAAAAACAAAGCTACCGCTCACGTGATGTAAAACCTCAGAAAAAGCTTTCCAGCTGGGTTTATGTCATTATAGTACGATTGGTCTGTTAGAGGAAAATAAAAAAAATAAATAAGTGTATGATGTAAGGCCAGTCTAACTTATGAGTGACAACTCAGTACTCTACGCATGTGCTCTGTTTCCCAGTTAATGATACTGGTTTCAGAAATCTAATATGGCAACAGCCAAAAATGTCTATGATATTAGCTCAGATTTGGAGACTGAGACGTTAAACGTTATCTCTAAAGTGCTGACTGAAGTCGTGCTGAGCTTTGATTCTGACCTTTTCACTCCACAATCTTCAATAAGCAGTTATAGGAGTGGTAATAATATATTTCTGTCTTTCACTGACATGTTAGGATAAGGATTATCCTTCACTTTGCTCATGTTTACGGTTTTAACAGCAGCTATGTCACCTTTTAGTCCTCAAAGACCTAAAGTCTTGACCTTTAAGCCTCCTTTCTCTGCTACTGAAACCTGCATTAATAAAAGTGCACAGTTGCTTTCATCTTTAATCTCCAGAGGTTAACACTTTATTCAGGCACAGATAAAACAAGCATCATACAGCTAACATGTACTAGAGTGAAAACTTTCACGTGTTTCTCTTTCTGGCCTCTTACGCTGCAGCTTCTTCAGCAAAGGCAGCACCAGAGGCAGCTCCACCTGCAGTTGAGCCTGCACCGGTGGAGGAGGAAGCCCCTGCTGCTGAGGTCATCGCTGAGTCGACCCCGGCTACTGCTGCTGCAGAACCTGTAGGAGAGACAGCTGCTGAACCTGTTGTGGAAGCTGCGTCTGAAGAAGCAGAAGCCGCCGCCGCCGTCTCTGAGGCGGTCGTTCCAGAGGCAGCAGCTGAGACGGCAGCTGAGTCAGCAGAGACGGAGGACGCCGCTCCACCTGTGGAGGCCCCAGCAGAGGAACCTGTGGCAGAAAACGCTGGTACGGCAGCAGTAGATCTCACTCCACCTGCTGAAGCCGAGGTGGCCCCTGCTGCAGAGGTGGCTGCTTAAACCTGTGATGGCTTGATAGTTCACCCAGTTGGATGTGCTCTGTCCCTCCTCCCTGCCCCAGAAAAACAGACTCATTAACCCAATTTTTTTTGATAATGAGGGGGGGGGAAAAAGTAGTTTCAGTCTTTTTAAAAAATCTGTTGGGGGTTCATCAGTCCAGTTTTCAGCTCCCCTCCTTCCCTTAGCTCTCCTAATGCTTCACATCCAAAAACATCTGGAATTAGTCTGTGTGATTAGAGCCACTGTGGAAAATTATGTCTGTATAGAAAATCTATCACAAAAAGGAAGAAATCCAAATTATAATTTGGATACTGTACAGTACACGGGGTAAATATAATGGACAGAACTAAGTTGGTAATTAATGCTTTCGAAAAATCTGATTTTAAGTGCTCTTAAAACAGGACAGCCCTGTTTCTTGTTCCTTTCCAGCAGGTTTAGATGGTATTTTATGTGTTCAGCCATGTTTTCTTTCAACCTCTAAACTCACCGTGAAGAGTTACCTGAACCAGTTAGCTCTTTGTTAGCAGACTGCAGTGCTGGTCTTGTGTTCTCAAACTATAAAACAGTTTTTGCACAGAGTGAGACGTGGTTAAAACTTCATTTCCTACTTTGTCTTCTTTTTTAAAAATCTCGTGCAGTAAGATGCTTTCTCATATTCATCATTACCACATATCCATATTATTCTTCTACAGCTACACCAGCCTGCACTCACTTTATTTGCCTGGCACACATTTCTATTTTGTTGCCAATTTGTTCCCTAAAAAATCAAAGTTCTCTTTTTGTTGCTGCTGTCTCTTTCCTCTTTTACAGAAAATGCATTCACCCTTATGTCCGTGCATTGAAAATGGTCTTTGGTACAGCTGTAATAAAGATTTTCTTTAGTCTCTCAGATGTTTTTGCTTGTCGCTCCACACCATTAATATTGTATTTGGAGTAGAAACACCTACTTCCTGTAGAAAAGCTCCTTATCCTGAAGAATCCCTGTGCTGTGTTCATGCTCCTGTCTGGCTTCAGCTCGACTGCCATCAAACTAAGAAGTTTTTCCAGCCTTCATAATTGATTTCACAGTATTTCCCACTCAGAATAATGAGCAGAAAGAAACCTCTGTTAAAAAAATGCTGAAAAATAAACATAAATGCAAAAATAAACACATGGTTGCAAGTGCACAGAGGGGATATGACTAATACTTGTTTACGCTTGATTGTTTGAAAAAGAAATTCATCTGGAGAACAATATAAGAATGTGAATAAGGAATTAGTCAGTGTCTACAATACCAGAAAAGAGTATATTGCATTAAACCTGGGATTTGTAGTCTTCTGTAGAGTGCCTGAACCTGTGGTGACTGTAAAATATCCAGTTATAGATTCCTGGTCAAGGTAAGTTGAATTAATAGAAGATGTAAGAAATTATGTTTTTCATTCATAAAAATTAGTGAGAAGGCTTTAAATTCCATTTAGCGCAAAACTAAAGTAGATTTTAAAATGTTGGCATTGAAGTAAATCTGTTGATTTTTAACAGCTAGAAGGTTTTTCATCAAAACCTGTTTCTCAGCCATTACCTCATGTCTTTTTCCCTCCATCAGAGTCCGCACCAGAGCTGCTCACAGATGTTAAGCTCTTGACCGGCTCAACAGCTGAAATTGCCGCAGCTTCTGTTGGTGAGAAGGATCCGATGGAGACTGTCCAACAAACTGAAGGTGAAGGAAAGGGACACGAGGTGCTTGAAACAGAAGCTTTGGAAGAAGCCTCAGAGGCAGTGGCCAAGGAAGCATCTGAAGAGGGAGCAGTTGTAGAAGGTGAGGAGGAGGTGAAGTCTGGAGAGGGTGAGAAAAGTGCAGAAGATGCTCAGACTCCAGCTGCTGAAGAAGTGATAACGGAGGTGACATCTGCTCTGGCTGCAGCTGTGGACGAGGAGGCAGCGGCTGGATCTCATCCTGAAGAAACAACATCTCCAATGACCACTGTGGACGAGGCAGAGGCTGAAGTTCGACCTGCTCCTGAGGAGGCCATCGCTGCTGAAGATGTTGCTCCTGCTGAGGAGGCCACAGTCACCAGTGAAGCTGCCCCACTGGATGAGATTTCACCAGCTGACCAGGCAGCAGCTGAAACACCTGCAGAGGAGACAGCTGAAGCTGCTGTCAGCACGACTCAGCTGGCAGCAGCCTCCGCTGGAGCGGACCTAAAGGTTCTTTCAGTTGTAGAAGCAGAGCCTACATCAGGAGCTCCTGTGCATGAGGAGAAACCCTGCCACTCCTGCCACTCTGCTCCCTCAGCAGGAGAGGAGGTGGCGCCACCTGCTGCTGTAGGAGAGGAGTTGATCACTGATGGTGCTGTGGATACTTCACAAGAAGCCAAGGATGCAGCCTCAGCACAAAGTAAGAATAAAAACCCTCCACTTAAACACTGTTTCGGCTGAAATTCTGCATCATCTGTAGTATGTCCCAACCCGGTCTGAGAAGCAAGGGATCAACAGTGTAGTGAAACTGTGAAGTGAGAATTATTTACCACTTCACAAAGTTAAAACAGTATTGAAAGTATTAATATCAAATTGTAGTTTTGAAACAAATAGGTTTTAGTTTTACCTCAAAATGCAAAAATCAGACAAAAACTAAAATCCTAGGTTTTAGTTTAGTTTAGTTCTGCTCGAACAAAACTGAACAAACAAAAGACAAAGAGGAACCTGGAGTGCAGGATCTGTTGCTTTTAGCCTACTTTATCTTGTCAGGCAGCCAGTCCTGGGCATGCACACAGTGAATCGGTTAATTCATGATTTAACAAGAGGGGGCAATTACTTTGTCAGGTAATGTCAGGTTGGTTTGGATACCATTTTTCCTTAATAAATGTAAAAATATAAAATCTGTATTTCATTGGGTTATCCTTGTCTGATGATCTGAAACAAAACAAATCAAACAAAAAAAAACTAAGAAATCAAAAAGAGGAAAGATACTTTTTCACAGCACTGTAAATATTGGCTGATCACACGGCACAATAATAATAATTGCAAAGACACAAAAACAGCAGTGATGGTATATGAAATCAATGGTGATGTCATCATTTTTATTTGTATGTTTATGTAATATGTACATAAAAATAAGGATAAGTTGGTATGTTGACTTCATAGTTGTGTGACTTGAAGTGCAGCCACAGTGACACGGGGAGGAATTCAGTAGACTTACAGCTCTGTCTGGTGATATTTCTGTAGCACTTCCCTATCAAGTTGAACAAACAAGTTTTATCTTTTAGTATAAAAAGGTCTTGAACTTAGTTTGTAGTGTGTATTAATATATTTGCACTTTACTGCTGTTTAAGGATCAGGGAAAAAGAGGAATTGTGACTATATGAAGAATAAAATATTGGGAAGTGAAACCCAAAACATCACACAAAAGAAAACAATTATCAAATTGTTAAAGTAAAACAGGAAACGGCCAAAAGGAAAGAACACTGAGACTAACACCAAACAAGATGGCATAAAAAAGGAAACACAAGAGATCAGAGGAGCTCGTGCAGAAACAAAGAGAGAGGGAAACAATGAGGGCGCTAGAAACACGAGAACCAAAGCAGAGCTCCAAGGAATGAAGATCAAAAAATCAAAACAGGAATCCAAAAATTCAACAAACACAAAAATCAAATCTCAAAGAAAAAAAGAAACTAACAACACAATCATTGGATAAATACAGGGAGTTATACTACGTTTAGATAAAGCTAAGATAAAAATAAAAAGAATCACCACAGGAAGGCAAAACCTCAGGTTCTCAGAGGTGAACAAGACCAAAGTTATGGCCATCAAAGCTGATGAACCTTCCCAGATGACCAAATACAACACATTATCAGTAAATAAATAAAGTAGTAGGTCACTCACTGGTTCCCTAACGGCCTCCTTGCCACTCATTCGTGAAAACTTTGTGAACTCCCCCAAACGCTAAATGTATCCCTGTTCGAGTTTGCCCTCGAAAACAAGCAAGCAAAGACAGCAGTAAAGCCTTTCTTGTATTAGGCTCTGACCAGATGTATTTCTGCCTGTATCCACAGAGACAAAGGAGTCTAACTGGACTGTAAAACGCTGCTCAGTCATGTAATTTTACAGTTAAGAAGGTAAAGCAGCACAGCTGTACACAGACCTAAAGAGAGCTAAATGGACAAATATGCACACATTTTAGCAGCTCACACTGTAACAGCTCCAGTGGGTCTCATAAACATTCACAGACACTTTTCTCTGCTTCAAATGTTAAAAGATAGTTCAAGCTGCACAGCTGTGAATTCAATATTTAAAATCCTATTTTTTAAACTGTAGAAAATGTGCACTGCAAAATCCTACAGTCATGTACACCGAGTGAATGCGTTTCTGTCTCCTTTAAGTTGAAGTTGTGCTTGTTTTCTTGCAGCCATGGAGGCGACGGTGGTGGTGATAGCCCAGTCGTGACGGGACAGACAGTGTGCCTTCCACAACACTCGCCTATCTGTCAACTAAGCCAGAGCGACCGGCAGAAAACAAAAAACATGAATAGAGGTAGTCGCAGGTGTAACCGACTCAAACGTCCTTTCTGAAATGTTATCAGAGTTGTCTTCTGTATTAGTGCTTGTGAGGTGATTCCTATCATGTCCTCTAGGTGCCACTGTTGCAAAACCTTTCATGATCAGCTGAGGCTTCTTTAAATCTTTCAGTAGGAAGTGGGTTACTGTAATACTGTGGTGTATTTTAGCACGGTGATAGACCACTTTTATAGACAATAAGTTTGCCAATGTGGACAAGAATTTTTAATGGGAGTGTCACCTCAGTGTGATTTACCTGCTCATATCAGCTCACATACATATGATAACTTTATTTCAGAACCAGAGTTACAAAGTTCTTCAAAATATTTACAAAAACCAATCTTAAAACAGAAGAAAGTTTATAAAATGAGAACTGCACAAATAGATTTATAAAGGCGAGGAAAAGCATCAGATTCAATAACAGATAACAAAATTCAAAAGAGCAAATACACAGAGAACTAAAGAGGAAAACTACAGACAATGAAGTGTAGAGTAGGGGCACCTTCAGAATTTTTTTCCATAGGGGTGGCCATGTGGGGGCCACTAAAAATATTGGGAATTTCCAGTTTTATTATGCTGTTGTCAAATATTGGTTACTTAAAAAAATGAGAAGAGAAGAGAAGAAAAGGGCAGGACTATTTATACACCTGGGGCTAACCAGTTTTGTGTTACTCTAACGAAATGGTACTAAAACAGGAGAATGAGACACAGGTGAAAGTAATCAGGATATTCAGACAGATGAGTAAAACCCAAAACAAACTAACAAAATAAAATAAAAAACAATCCACAAGACAGGAAGAAACACTGAGCATGTGAGAAATCCATCTATCGATCCATTCAAGTATGAGTTATTGTGCTTGTTGTTACAGGCTGTTCAGTTCTTTTGCAACACAGTGAGAGCTTGGTCCATATTGCCAATAATACGGTATGTTTTGTTTTGGGTTTTTTTGCCTGTCCCATTTGGTTCTTTAGCCGTCAGAATTGTTGTCTGAAGACCAACAAGGATACCCAATGGATTTACTTTGCCAAATGGATCATCGTGGCATTGCCGTATTGGTCCATTTGATCGACCTTTGTTTTTATTATTTATTTTATTTTCAGTTGTTACAGACGGGACAGACATGAGTGAGGGATAGGAAAGGGAGAAAGAAAGAGGAAGGAAAAGAAAAACAGAAGAGGAGAGGGACAGTGAGAAAGGGAAAAAAATCTCCTGGATCACCTGTTGAGAGAGAAAGAATAGAAAACAAGCCAAAAAAACAAAAAAACAAAGCAACATACTAAACACAACACCATCGCATTAATCTAGCTAAGTGTAAACAGCAGTAAATACTAAATATTAAATTTTGTTGTGCAGCACGCAGGACAGACAGCGCACAATGTGCTTTGAAGTAGCAGCCAAGAAAGGTGTAATTTAAGTCTACGAACAGTGAACACGCGTGTGCACACCTGTGTGGATCAGCGCGCTTGTATTCAAATGGTTTCCCCATGTAATGGTCTGCAAGAGGATGTAGAGAGCCATAGCCCCGTCCCCCAGGGCATGAAGCAGGCATGGAGGAGATCCAGGCCCCAGACATCCAGAGGCCCCAGAGTGCGAGTGATAGGTTTGTAGCTTGAACCCATCCGCTGGAACGTTGGAGACAATATAATTACACTGCAAAGCAAGACACGAAGTAGGCAAAGTTCTTCATGTTTCTCGTGCACGGGAGAGACCGGACAGGCGCCGTTCCTTCGCTTGACCCCAGTTGCTCTCTCTCCCGTAACACTGCTCTTTTATTGAGGTTACATGAATATGCATAGGGTCATTAACATATAACATCTCACATAGGTATACATGTAAACAAAGAATACTGTGTGTGTGTGTGTGTGTGTGTGTGTGTGTGTGTGTGTGTGTGTGTGTGTGTGTGTGTGTGTGTGTGTGTGTGTGTGTGTGTGTGTGTGACCCCATAAACGACTTCCTTAACCTGCTGGTCTGGAAAATCCAACAGTTCATCTAAACACAAAAGCACTTAGACTAGAACAGACGTAGCTACGTTAATCCTACCATAAAACAATAAAACAAGGTACGACCTCTCCATGCTCCTAGGATGTAGGTGTGCATTCCAGTGTGGAATACACACCAAGCCTTTGCAGCCTGCTAAAGATCACAGTCCTATCACAACACAATTGATTATACACCTCTAAGCATATATGGTTAAATATTTCTAAGCATAAATGACAATCAACAATACAAAACCTAACAGCGAGAGCCCAAGGAGGCCCACCGGAGGGGTATCCGTGCCACCCTCATGGGAAGGGCTGAGGATCCCCGACGAGGCGCCACCCAGTAGCCACCGAGCAGAAGCTAGAGGGGGCTGCACCGGCGTGCCCGCCGGCTCTGCCGGCAGCCAGCTGTGCCAGAGTGAACCGAGCCGCAGGCCCAGAGGCCGGAGGCCCGAGGGCCCCCCGCACCAGGGGTATGTTGGATTTAGTCCTGATCGCAGTTTGACAGCCAGTGCTGTCCTCTGTCTGGGATTCCTAATTTTTATGGACAGGATTTCTGTGTGTAGGCAAGTAGTCTCCAGTTTTGTGGCCGCTTGATCTCAAGTGCTTTGAGTGCTCAAGCAGAGTAGAAAAGTGCTATATAAGAATCAGTCTATTTGCCATCTCATATCTGTTTTTATGGATGCTGTGGTTCTGTTGGCTTCATCAGGTGACAACCTCCAGCTCGCACTGGGGTGGTTCGCAGCTGAGTTTGAAGCAATGAGAATGAAAATGATCTCCTCTGAGCCTGGGTGGAGTGCTCACTCTGGGTGAGAGATGAGTTGTTGTGCCAAGTGAAAAAGTTTAAGTATCTCGGGGTCTTGTTCACAAGTGAAACGAACAGGAGACTGACAAACAGATCAGTGTTGCATCTGCAGTGTGGACACTGTACCGGTCTGTTGTGGTGAAGAAAGAGCTGAGCATGAAAATAAAGCTGTCCATTTACCAGTTACCAACCTTACCTATGGTCACAAGCTCAAGGTAGTGAATACAATGATGTAATCTCAAATACAAGTAATGGAAATTCCTCTAACTTAGAAATAGGGTGAAGAGCTCAGTCATTTATGAGTGTCTTAGATTAGAGCCGCTACCTCTCAGCATCGAAAGGAGCCAGCTGAAGTGATTCAAGCATCTGACTACGATACTTCCTGGGTGCCCTCTGGGTGAGGGCAGACCCAGCACACGCTGGAGAGATTATATCGCTCAGCTGGCTTGGACACATCTTGCTGTCGCCATAAATAAGGTGGAGGAGGTGCCTGGGTAGAGGGAGGTCTGGGCTTCTCTGCGTAAGCTGCTCCCCCACGATCCAAACCCAGATAAGTGGCAGAGGATGGATGGATGGATGGATGGATGACAATCTTTTTCTCATAATACAAAGGCAGGTACTTACATGACTGTCTTATTATCCATACATATCAGAATTTTCTAGGTTTTAGTCTTCCTCTACAACTGCAATAAAAAAAATAAGTGGGGTTTAATTTACTCAAAGGAAAAAAGAATTTTGTTTGTCAAATGGCAGAAAAATATTGTTGTTATTTATATTTTAGCTCCTGCAACAAAAGTTTGCTTTAAGTGGTTTAAATGTTAAGTATGTGAACATCAGTGCTTCCAGTTATGTAAGATTGACACAAAAGCTTTATTTTACATACAGAAATAAATGTGTTATTGATGCACTTTTCCTTCTTTTCTGATACCACTAGCACCTAAAATAGTTTAGAAAAAAGTGTTGAAAGGTCAAACACAGACACATATACACACATACGGAGGTGAAAAATACCTGAAGCAAGAAAATATCCGGTAAACACATTTCCACATCCATACCAACACCTGTCTATACTTACACAAATCTCCATTTATGTGCAGACTGGGTAAGAGAATAAGAGAAAATGATTGTAGATATATAGATTGAAACTTTGTTTAATATATCTGCATATTAAACAGTAACTTTAATTAGCTTGTAATTAGCAAATTGCTCTGCAAATGACTTCTCTGTTGTCTGATAATGTACTCAAATTTTAAATAAAGTGAATTAATAACTAATGAGATTACATGTTTTTGAGCATTTGTCTGTTCTTTTTTATCTTTTTGGAATAACTTGGTCAAAAGCAAACAGAAGAAGGATAAATATGTGCCCCCTTAGCTAAAGTTTGTGGTGCAGAACAGGTCGATCTGTTGTCAGATAATTGCATTTCTCTAATAAAAACACTTAAAAGAATAATTTAGAGACTAGACAATTTACTGACAAGCAGTTTCATGGCCAGGTGAGACCTGTTACCTCATTATTTCATGAAAAATAAGCAGATACAAGATCTGGAGTTGATTCCATGTTGTGTTGTTGAACTTAGTAGCTGTTCACTGGAATTCCCATCAGCCACCATTAAGTTGAATACCAAAAAACCTAAAAACTTTAGAAGTGCCTAACTCTACAGTCCACTATATTCTTAGAAAAGGAGGATTATTGTTATTGCTGAGCACTGGCCAGTTCAACAATAACAAAAGGCCATGAAGACCACAGAAGACATCTAAGGTGGGCGATTGCTGAATTCTTTCCTTGGTTAAGAAAAACATATCGAGTCAAAGTCTACAATCAAGAGATACATTAATGTACCTGAGACAAAATTAGACTTTACAAGAAAACACCTAAAAGAGCCTGCTTAGTTCGGGGGGGTCAAAGGTGGAAAGCACGATCCAGTGCAAATGGATAATGACCCAAAGCAAAGTGCAAAAGCAACAAAAAAAGATATTCTTCAGTTTTCAAGTACTGATCTCATGTTCTCTATGCAAACAGAGCATGCTTTTCATTTGCTGAAGACAAACCCGAAGGCAGAGAGATCCACAAACAAGCATCTGATGAGAGGAAACAGCATTTGGTCTGCACTTTAGTCACGTGTGGACTGTTTGATTTAAAACCCACTGTGTACAGCTGTAAAGAATGACTCTTTAATTGTTGGTGGGCTGGGATTGTTTATGATACGGCGTGACGTCACTAGTGTCACTTGCCTGAACAAGCAGAGAGTAAACTGACTGAGCCAGTCTCCATGAGCCTCTGCAGACTCGACCGACCGTTTCGCAGCTCACTCACGGACCCGCATTTACACCCCAGAATCGCGGATAACTTGATTCTGGTCGGCCGGGAGGATCCGGGAGGTCTCCTCCTCCCTCTCCTCACCATGAAGGCGACCAGCTAACGCTAGCCGAGCAGTGTCCGCTAACAGCGGGACTCCTCCGGGCTGACAGTTTACAGCAGCGGCGGGTTCAGAGGAGGAGGAGGAGGTTAGCACCCAGCTAACCACACACTGCTGCCTGTGAGCCGATCAGGAGCTGAAAGGAAGGATTAGACGGTGAGTGAGCTCTGTAGCAGCGTTAGCCACATGGTTTGTTGTTATCCTCTGTTTACTTGCTTTTCTTTCATTGCTAACTTAGCTAGCTAGCGTTAGCGAAGTTAATGCTCCACATTCAGTTTCTGCTCGGGGCTCTCAAAGAGATTTGGGCGTTACATGCTGAATTGAGTAGACTATTAGTTCAGGGAGGTATCATTTCAATAACAGATTCCCTCCTGTGGGCTGCTCTTTATGTCCAACATAGTCTTTGACTCCAGGTTAGGGTGAGCAGGTGTCCCAGTTTGTATGGGACTGCACAGCACCTTCAGCCTTAGTCCAGTTGACATGTTTAAGTTATTGTGTTACAATGAGAGAATAATTGATAGACACCAGCGTAAACCCCCCAACTTTAGCAAGAGTCATTTATATGTATGAGAAGCTGTAAAAATTGGATAAAAAATTAAATGCAGTATATTTATAACTTTTATAGATCTACACACCAACACGTTGTCTTTATGAGGTTTTAATTTGCTTTCGGAAAGGCATCAGACAATAACACAAAATACAGCAGCTGTTTGTTTTTAAAGTTATATACGCTGTTGATATCAGTAATTTCTTTGACATTTAGTTTGTCGGGATCTGGTAACTACTGCATGCATGTAACATATAAACCTGTGTTGACAGAATAGTGTCAACACAGGTGAGTGTGCGGGTTGAGAGGCAGATTTGCATTATGATGTTATAACAGGTGTTGTGGTCAGAAGTAGGTCATTGTTGCTCATGTATTTATTCTTTTCCCCCCTCATTTCCTGTTAGAAAATGTGATTAGCTGAAAATGGAAAGATTTCCTCTACACGCTGTAATGCATTTTGCCATCAATGTTGTTAATTAATTTTATGTAGGCCCTACAAATATCCTGAATAGGAAATGTAATGACACAACTAAGTGGTGGGGGAGGGCTTGCTGGGGGGGAAGAGAGTATTGCTTTACAATACTTAAATAAATAAATACAATAATATAAAATATTATAATAATAATAAACACTTGTTGCAGATTTTCTTAAATCTTTGTCGCACATCATTTTTCTGCAACAGTTCTTGGACAGATGGGACAAAAATGAAACCAACACTAAAACCTCATTGCAGTTGTGAAGCATGGTGGAGGCAGCATCATGGTTTCAGAGATCTGTCTTGTGAGTGAATGAGTAGATAAATTAACCTTGTGATGATTGAACAAACTGTGTAGAAAAATAGCCAATATAATAGTGTGCATTATAAGGTTGATTTATGTGTGGCTTATATGGGATTTATTTATTTATTTTAAATGTATCTCTGGCCTGATTCAGCACGTGCCCCCCTGCTGGTGCATGTATCAGCTTAACGTCCTGATGTTAATCTGAGACTCTGAGGAATGACCTGCGAAGGGTTAAAGATATCCCGACTGTTCTTAGGGCTCCTGAGATGATCTGAGATCATTTGTATGGGTAATTATTACATTAGTATTAACAAAGAGTTCACACTCTTTCTCGCAGTTGTGTGCGTTGGTGTGTGGAGGTATTTACAGTTTGATTGTGTGGGGCAAAGGACCTATTTAAATGCTGCAGGCTGGGAGTGTCCACTCTTTGTGCTCGTTCATCATTAACCAGACACCATGTCCTGCAGTGCGAGTCAACAGTTGAACTGTGTGGTCTGAAGGTTTCACAAATGTTCTCCACTGCAAACATGGACCCTGGGTCCAAGGGGTTGGTTGCCACAGAAGATGATGTATGATGGGATACAAGAGAGGTGTGCAAGTTTAAATCACAAAAGGTTGCACTTGTTGTGTGTGTCTTTATATTTTGGGCTTGTGTGACTGTGGCCGAAATTATGCTCATTATTATTTAATGTTATAACTTGATTTTTGGGACATCGTGCACTTGCTCTTGCTCCTTACTACACTTGAAACCAAAGTGTTTCCAAAGAGATGAAGTCATTTTACTTCATCTGAAGCTCCAACAGCCTGTAGAGGGAGTGAATTTGGGGTTTCAGAGAAGAGTGAAAATGCTTCAGCCTAAAGAAACAAGAGTGACAGCATAAAAGGAACAATTTTCATCTGAATTATGATGTTCTTATAGTTGTTCAAAGCCATATATATGTAGCTGATGAGTTTTCTGAATCACATGCATTATTCAATTTGCACAGAGGATACAAATAAACAATGCATTTCTAAACTGCTAATTCCATCTCATTTATACATTGTATTGTGATAAATATCTCTGTAATAATTGTGTCATTTAATCCTTCTAATATTCATAAAAGGCAGTTTTAAGTAGTTTTAAAATGAAAGTTGAAACAAGTTAAACTTGAGTTAAATATTTGATTAGTCTGTCAGAAATTCAGATGAATTATTTATTTATTTTTATCTGTTTTTATGTGTTATTTTTTTTTATTGAGTTGGCCTCATTCACTACATTGAGTCACTGGACTCTACTCTGTTTGTGCAGGTTGGAGACTTTTGGAGTGTTTTTAATGGATTGTCTGACTGATATTATAGTTTGATGTGACGTATAGATCATCTGAGAAGCTTGTCTTTAGTTCTTTTTAGTTGGCAAATAATTAACGTGTGTGTGTGTGTGTGTGTGTGTGTGTGTGTGTGTGTGTGTGTGTTGCACCTGCATGTTAGAGTTTGACATGATAAATTACAGTCTAGCTTCAAAATGCAGCCTCCAGAACTATTAGGCGATATCATAATGTCTACATACGTCTCTTATCTTTCATGTTGATAATGATATGAACGATAGTCCTGGAACTGCATTATGATCTGGTAGAATAACACCAGCACGGAGATATCAGATACTTCATATGCAGCAGAGGTCGACCAAGGACTCGGCTGTTAATGGCATTTTCCCCCATGAAGCGTGGTACTTAAACTCTCCACCATCAATACGCAAACTGACTACTTGAATAACTGACATCCAGAAGTTAAAGGTTCAGCATAGCTGATTTACTTCACACCATTTTGGCAGTGCTGGCTTGTGTATTGTAAAGCAAACTAAAAATTAAATGTATAATCAGTAACTTAATGGCTGTTTAATTCTTTATATAAGCGGAGTGTATTTTTCTTTTGTGTGCCTGTATGAATGGAGTCGGGTGGGTGTCAAGTAAATCCTGAGGTCATACTTGCTGTGTATGTGCTTGTTCTGTCATCTGTGTGTGTTTGGCGAAGGCCAGCAGGGCAGGGCACAAGGCATGGCGTTGTATCGTGACCAGCAGCCCCAGTTACTTGGAACAAAAGGGCTGTTGTTGAGAGATCATGTGACTGTGTGTGTTCCACCCTTGTCATGTGATGTGAGCTCAGGGCAGGGTCTGAGAAGTGCTGAGTCGCTCTGAGAGGTTCCTTCCACCCAGGGAGCAGGCAGAAAACGAGCATGCACACAGGGAGAGGAGAGTGCTGGTCGAGTGGATGGATGTCAGGACAGAGAGGAATACGGAGACATCTTCAGAGACGCAGAGAGATTCAGAATAACTTCTGTTGCTTTCTCATTTCTACAGCAAGAAAACATCACATCCTTCTTTCACTCTCCTCGATTCTCTTTTTCTCGATTTCAGTAAAGATGCAACGCAGCATTTCGCATCGGCTCTGCGGCGAGGCAAGTTTATTCTAGTTTTCTTTTTAGTTCATTGAGATTGAGTGGTGGTGGTGGTGGGATGGCTTACCTGATGTCACAATGGCTGCTTAACCTCACAAAATCTGGAGACTTTGCTTACTGTGAACCCAGAACAACATTTGTAATTAAATTTAGCTGCTACTCTGCTCTCATCCTGGCAATCGGTTATGAAGTTAAAGGTGGGTTTCGCACACATACAGAGGAAATGCAGACCGGCGCAAACATTTCCCATTCCTGGAATACCAGCATGACTAACTGCCTTTTTACTCATTTATGTTTGAGCTGAGAAGTGAGACACAGCCGCGTGTCGTGTAGCAGGTCCTGTAATACTTGTTTGAATCAGTGCAACCGGCCTGAGAGAGCCGGCTCTTAACAGATCTCTTTTGTGTGTATGTGTGTGTGCATGTAATCAACCCACTGTGGAACTGGCCCTGCAACCTACATATTCAATACCACTGCAGATTGTTTAGTTGAGTAGGTGAAAGGGTTTTTGCCGATCTGTGTCGTCATATTAGTGAAAACCTACAGTACACTTTCCACACGCAGGAGTCTGTACTTTGACACTCAGTCGCTTTCTGATGGACAGAGTGAGATAACTTGGATAGTTTACAAAAACCCTGTGTGTCACAATCGCTGACTTCTCCATGAGCTTGCATAATAACGTCTGACGGTTTGAGCGGAGTAGTGAAACACAGAGAAACACACACACACACCTATATTTGGTTACCCTGTTTCTGTGTCAGAGAGCAGGAGGCATGAAACCTCAAACCTGAAAAGGTACAGTGTCTCTAACGTCTCACTTTAAGCGCACTGAAAATTTTATGATTTTATTACAGATAAAGCAAACAGTTATGATAACGCCAAAAGGCCATTAAAAAGTATTCCAGTACAGAATACAGTGCGGTCGCTCAGTCATTTTAGCTGCTAAGTAGCCGGATTGCTTGAGAGTAAAGGAAGGTTTACTCATCTTTACTTTCAGAATGGAAACCTGCAGTGTCTTGATTTCTGGAGGCTCTACACTAAATGTCCGTCTTTGAGAGGGGTCACATGATTGCCAAACATGTCTGTGAGGATAACGTAGCCCTTACAGCTCTGCCAATTAGTGTCTGCCATATGATGCTGAATAATTGAGCAGAGGACTTCTACTGAGCTGATAGCATTCTGGTTTCAGTAGCCGAGGGAACACCGGCACAGCATGGCTCATCCATTATACAGCACTTGGAGTAACCGGCCATGTCCTAGTGTCCTGAAACACACTGTGGAGCGCGTTTTGTGGTCAGCTTGGTGCACCAGGGTGGGTATAAAACTATAAAATACTAGCAGTGGCCAGTGGTACCCCTCAGCCTCCTAGTAGATGCACCTATGGTATGAATCGCTTCGTTCTCGGATTCACAAACTTGGGTGTCCAGGCTGTGTGCCCACCTGGCCGTCAGGGTGACGACAATACCGCCTTAGCCTTTTATGGCTGAGGAGCAAAAAGCCCTGGACCATGCATGAATCCCATGTCTTGTGTGTTGTAGTTAATGACCTGCTCATTTTGTCTTCTTTGATATTGAAAATAGAGTGTAGTGCATGCTTCAGACAAACCTTTTTCTATAAAATATATCTGCAATAAGCTATATTTGCATTAAAATCCTATAATTATCTTAAAATCCTGTCCATGGTGGCTTTCCTTTCTTGCATAGAACATTAGTAAACATGTATTGAAATGCATAGTTACTTACTTCTGAAAGTTTTTGAGAAACCGCTTCAAGTGCTTTGTTTCCTATTTCAACATCTTCTTTTAATATTCCAGCAATGAAGTGGTGACTTCTTTAATTTTTCTGATTTCAACAACTATCAGCTGCCATGAGTCGAGCTCTCTTCAGAAGAGATTTTGTTTTTGTATTGTGAGCATCAAGTATTGTAACAGTTTATATCATGTTAAAAAGCAAGAAAAACCATAATGCGGACTGTTCTCCACACAGTGGATTTTCTAGTCCTGCACGTGCAGTTGCATACACAGTGTAAAAGCCCTGCAGGTTGGTTACTACTGTTACCCAGACATAGTTTGTTAGCCAGACCAAGTAATGCTTTCACTGCAGAGCATATGAAAGCCCAGTTTAATTCATTTCTTACACTTTTTAGTGTATTTAGAGTTAAAACCCTTTCAAGTACATGGAGGAAGTTTGAAAGGGTTTCTGTGTCTATGCTTGGTGAACTATGATTGTTTTAGGGAGGGTTGGAGGTGAGATACTTTGATGCTTTTAGTTTTACTTTTACTGAGAAGTTGAGTTTTGTTTTGTTTTTTTAAATTTTATTTTCTGTTTGACATACCTTTCTTTCCTTACTTTCCATTTGACAACATCAGACCACACCAACCCTTTAAACAGTGGGCAGTTAAAGATTTAAATGACTTCCTGCTGTTGTGTTCATGTTTGTATATGTTTTGGCCCAGCAGTGCAGCTCTGACGGGAAAGCGAGGGCCCTGTGGTTCCGCCTTGTCTTGATCTTCCACTGGACACTGTGCATGTGTTTCAGGGGGTGGATTTGGCTTGTTGTCAGCTCATTTCTTCCTGTTACAGCAGAAAGGCACTTCCTGTAGGCTAAAGCCAGAAGGGTGGAGATGAGCGAGATGAGATTGCTCCCTTTAATGAGAGCTTGGCCTGTAGTTTGGACAAAGGAGGAAGGTGTGGCAAGGAGCTGGCCAGTTTACTTCTGTTTTGTAATGATTTGTACTCTGATTTTCACAGCTTTGGGAGCTTTTTAGTGAGACTGGTGTGTGGACTTTTTGTGTTAATGAAGTTTTTGTTTTTGTTGCCTCTTCTATTTTTTTTCCAGCCCACCAGGCAGAGCAGCTGTGGCAAATTGCAGACGAGCATGAGTCATGACCTCAGTGGTGCTGGTTGACAGTGGTGGGACAGTGGTGGAGTATGTCACAGCTGAAGAGGACCCAGAGCAGGTGCGGCAGACACAGACAAACTCATTTCAAACTTACTCTTTCAGTTAGAAACATCTTTTTATGACAGTTTCTCTTTTTTATTCTCCTTGCCGACTTTCTCCAGGAGGAGGGAGAGTGTGAGGTGGACTTGGAGCTGGAGGGAGAGGTGGAGGGTGAGTGTGAAGCCGAGGAGGCCTATGAAGAGGAAAAGGAGGAGGCTCAGGACTACCCAGCAGTCATAGTGGAAGAGATTCCTAGTGCCAGCCTGGCTGAGGAGCAGAATTACTCAGCCCAAGTGTTGTTGTATGGTGATGAGGCCTATATCATGCAGGAAGTGGGAAACGAACAGGAAGTGGAGACGGATCGGGACCCAGGTGAGGCAAAAATGTTTTGTGTTACTAAAAGTGTGCCACGGTCTTTGTTATGTTATTGCATCAGTCAGATTTTGAATAGTCTTTCCAGTTAAAACCAGCATAAAATCAGATTTTTTGGAGAGGTTATTTTATTGCCTCAAAGGCAATCAGAATGATTTTTAAAACTGCACGTGATTGTATTTAAAAAAAGTTAGTTACAAGAACCTCGATAACACTTAACTCAGGCCATCAGCTTAACAAAAGACACCAACTAAATCACTGAGCAACATCTGTGCTGTACTTAAAAAATGTCCTTTAAAGTTCAACATAGCCAGACTTTCTTTGTGCTAGCTGGATGAGTAAATCCTTAAACCTCGGTCAGAGATGACTAATATTATGATGGTGAATATCAACTTTCTGTTAACTCAGGCTTTCTGCTTCAGGTGTTGTTTCATGCATCATTTCACTCTTCGTTAGCACAAAACTGACCAACTAATCAAATCAGGAATACGGGTGATAAGGATCAATAAAGAATATTTTTAAGAAGTCAGAAATCAACACTCGTGCTACAGATAAAGCAAGAGAGTAAAACTGCAGAAAATTAGTAATCGTGTGAATTCATTCCTTAACTGTATTTAGGGGTGCAAATTAGAGCTCTGAATCTTTAAACTATATTTAAACTATTTAAAGGTTACTCGGTGCATTCAGGCCCTTACTCTTGAATTCCTGTGATTACAGCAGGGCTTCCCTTGTATCTGTCACTATTCAACTCCCAGTACTTCTTTGGTGATGGGAGTCAGCACACTGGGAGTGCACTGCCACCTTGTGGGTGTTGTTGTGTAGTTGAATTTTCTGTTTTATGAGGTTTTATCCCGTATTTACTGGCTAATAATTAGATTTTGCCATATTGGTGATACCCGCCGTCCAGTCCAGTGCTGTTTTCAGTAATTTGGAACATATTTAAAGGTCAGAGAGATGGAGGTTTCAATTTTCTTTCTAAGAACTTTAAGTTGCAGCATGTAATTAAAATTCTCAACAAAAATCAACTTTTCTTCAGTGAAATATAATAGTTTTGATCATAAGAAAAAGTTGCTAAGTTTCAGGATCTTCTCTCACTTAAACACCTCAAAATAAAGTGGAACAAATAATCAACTGAAAATGTGTACACGCACCTTTACCTGACACATTTTACCGTACCAAACAAAAGCAGGGGCAGCAGATTTAAGTAACAAAAGTATGTTTCCAGTAGTGAAAGCTTTGGACTGTTCGCTGCTCGTATCGAGGCCGCTGGCGTATGGCTGGATGTGAACTGTGAATAGCTTTAGCGTTAGCCACTTTGCCTTTCTTAGCTTCTGTAAAATGTCCATGTTCAGCTGGGTGAAGGAGGTTTAAGTGTTTGTTGTTTCCCCTCCTCACAGTTTACTTAAACAAACTTTGTGTCTTCACTTACAGTGAAAAGCTTTCATACTAACAAGATATCAGTGCGTGTTTGTGTGCCGCTGTGCACATGTCCTGCGTGCATGAAATAGACCAGCTCATAACTGGACATGTGTGAGACTGACCGGCCGGTGACCTCCCCGAACAGAGAACATTGGAAATTTTGATTCTGGTCCTTAGACAGTCAATCTGTGCGTCTCTATTAAAGATGATAGAAAAAGTGTATTTTTAAAAAAAGAATAATTTAGAAGAATAATTTAATAATGAAAAAATGTTATCATAATAATTTTATAAATAAAAGTCTGTCCCTCTGCTCATATTTGTTTTAAAGATGCGGTTACATGTTTGAACACACTTTTTTTTTTGTGTGTTATGTGGAAAAAAGACACGGTCCACAGAATAGTGGCTCTCAGTAAGAAACCTGTTGAGTTCACATTTAAGATGATGCATTGAAGACATGTAAGAGGCAGTCTGATATAATTAATAAACCGGGAAAACTTTTGCCAGCTACACAAAAAATACCTGATGTAGTAAATCTGATGATGTAGTAAACTCATATATGCAAATTATTCTTTCTTTCTTTTTTTCCCTTCATTTGCTCAGAAGGTTTTCTTGCAATTGTTTCATGGCTCAGACTTTAGTTTGGTTAGATTACCAAGTGCACAAAACAGGAGAGGCATTTCCTCAAGGTGTAGAAAATGATTAATGAACTCACCGCACACTTGGTTTGGGGGTCACTGGTGGAGCGCAGAATATCCTCAACACAATTCCATTTGTTTTGCAGTTTTTCAGTGACATCCTCCTTTAAAATGAGCCGTGCCCGCCTTTAAATGATTTATTTTTAATCCCAAAGAGACACAAATACTTTTCAAAGCCTGACTTGCATAGGTGTCCTCCTACCACACTAGGTGTTAGTGCAGTAGTTCATGTGTGAGTATTTAACCTTTGCTTTACCAAACTCCATGTCTCAATTTTACTTAAGTTGTAAAGTATGTGATTTAAAATGAACTCCCACAAAGATAATAGATTTATTAAATTGCAGCGTTTCAATCCAGCTCACCTTCATACACACGTGTGTAAATAGGCCTGGAGCTCCATGCTTGAAATCAGGCTTTGAAGCTTGTACAAGAAGAGAAAGACATCCAATCAATTTAGACATACAGGTTTTTCGATCAGGTGAATACTTCATACTTTTTGCTTCATGTGTAGCATCATCATCAGGTAGTTTATTTCTCTTAGTCGTCTCAGAAACCACTGAATCACAATTAAGCTCACTGACATTCATCAATAAATAAGTTTTAACATAATTGTATAAATATAAGATGTTAAGTCGCAACATATGGCAGATTTGATCTTCTTTATTTTTCCACTAGCTCTTTTAAGTTGACCAATCCTAATTTAGTTTGCATAAGTTCATTATTTTAATCCTCACAAAGCAAGTTTATTTCTTATTAAGCCACATTCCCTTGTGTATATATTGTATTTCAGTTCAAAATGCTGTCATATATTTAAAAACAGTGCTGCTCTGCCCTCCTGTGGCATTGTTATGTGCCATGACCTGTAAGCACATGCATGAATATGTATCTATATGTATTACAGATAGTCAAAGTTAAGTTAGTAAAATGGTAATATGACAAAATAAATAAAACAATGATAAATACTTTCCAGCTCCAGGGGCGTAATTTCCGGGGGGGTTAGGGGGGTTATGACCCCCCCATAATCAGACCTAAACAATATAAACCCCCCCCCCCCCCCAATAAAATTATGAATTATCTTGCATAAATAGGCTGTTGATTTTCTTTACTCATTTCAGTTATCACCAGCAAAATAGTTGCATGTTTAATCATCTGGGAATTTACCCAGATTTATTTATTTGTTTAGACAGAGATCTTGACACCCCCCCCCCCCCCCCCCCCTCATGTATCTCATGTAAGATACATGAGATACGTTGCTTAAATATTTATATAACATATATCAGTAGCAGAACTTTACTGGTCACCAAAATAATACTTATTTAATTGTATTTTATTAGACCTTTAAAGCATTTTTTTTAAGTGCTGGGTCTTACACTGACATGCTTTTTTAAGAGACTCACAGTAAAAATCCGTGTCAGTTTGCTTCAGCGATGTGAAAACGGTGAGCTTATTTTAAAAAACGGTGCAGCTTTTATTTGACGTGCTCACTACGCAAGAAGGGGAGGTCGACGGAAGGATTTCCTGTGTTGGTGGCGGATGGGTACCTTTGCTGGCGCTGTGACGCGTCGCGTTCAATACGAAGAGATTTCCCATTAGCGGCGGAGTGATCTGAACTAGTAGCTTCCCATACAATTCAGTGAGGAGTCAATGTGAATCTGCAGCGAGGGGGAAAACATGGCGACTTCGCAGCATGAGGGGCACGCAAACCAACTCGATCTACTCATCAGAGCCGGTAACGTAATTTTTCGCACTCGCGGCTTCGATCTGAGCTGCGCGCGGTTGTTGTTTTTAAGTGCGTCCGCTGCGCCGCCGTCCGCTGAGAAGAAGTGCGGTGAAGTAATGGAGGGCAATCAGGAAGTGATCACCTTGGTTAGCAACCTGCATGGCGTCGCCACACGGTTTAATCGGAGCCGGTTTATAAGGAGGGAAACTTCAGTTGGATGCGGTGGTGTGTACAGGTGTAGAGTTACGTGCATGTGTGGTGTTTTGCACGCGGGAGGAGTTTTTTCTGCCCTCCGCGTGGTGTAGAATAACGGTCTGCAGCTCGGCTGCACAACCAGGAAGTGTGGAGATGTTGTCTTTCCTACGTCTTTGCCACGCTGTCTGAGTCGGAAGGACATGTGGGTTTATTTTTACCAGCATCAACGACGCGTGCACAGTTAAATATTCCCTGTGATCGTTTTTATGGCCGTTTGTTTTGGTGTTTGACTGCGGCTGGCTTCGGTTTCGGGTCAGTTTAGCCTGAATAATCTGCAGGCTGATCCTTGATTAGCAGCTCCGGGGAGTGAGGCGCCGTCCTGTGTCATGTTTGTGGATTAATGTGTGATCGGCTCACGGTGGCACCCTCTGGGTCTCGGGTTTTGGTGTGTGTGTTTGTTTGTTTCACGGTTTCCGTTACCGTCCTGTGGAGCCGCTGTGCAGGCGCGTGGGACGGCCTGGCTCACGCGCTTTCTTCCTTGTAGCCGTTTGTTGTTGGCTTCAGCTTTCCAGCTACAAACTCTCTTCACCTGCGTGTTTCCTGATTTTGAATAACGGGCTTTTATCGCTTAAACGCCGTGTTTGTTTCCGCCTCTGTTTAATTTTAATGTCAAAGTATTTTTTTCTAATATTTCGATGGCGGAAGCATTGTTTATGTGAGGGGGCGGGGCGTGTGTTTGATTGACTCGTCCGTTAGTCCTGTAGTGCGCGCGCTGCTTCCGAACGTAAGCAGCAGTCCAATCAGATGCGTCTGGGGGCAGGCTCTTGAACTGAGCGACAGCCAATAGGAGGCAAAGCGAGTGTTGAGTGACAGGAGGATTTGTGTGCCTCTTCGAGGAGAACTGGAGGGAACGGGTGAGGAGTGTAAACACGGAAGTCATCACGGGCAGCACTACTTTTTGTCGGACCTGCTGCTGTTCTTGGCCCCGTTACCTAGCTGTAAATGTGAAAGAGATTTTCCCAACTTTATATATTGTAATTTTGCTTACACTTAAATAATTATTCTAATAAACTGAACAATTTTGCAATTTTTATTGGATAATCAGACATGAGTTATAACCCTGATAATTCAGATTTTGACATGTTGGTCAGGCACATCTGCAGCTGTTTGAACTCAACCCTTTCGGTGGCCTTACTGCAGCACCTCTGCTTACTTTCAAGGGCGACTCTGCAGGCCACAGGACCTCTGCAGTGTGTCCTGTTTGCTTGTGAATGAGTGGGACAGCCTAAATATAGCCTATTTCTGTCCTCGACACAGTGCCCATTGCCTCAGCAAGATAGCCAAACATGGATAGGGCAGGGTGTAATGGGATCTTGTGTTTCCCACCGGTGATTGACAACGACAGCAGGTGCTCCTGGGTGCCTTCTCAGAGCTCCCTCAGACAGGTCCACGTACAGTTTCCCTGACAGCGGCTGTATCCTGTTTTTGAATAAAACAGGAGGGCTGCTCACGTCTGAGTGGGTCAATAGTTTGATTGTTAACATATTGAATTAAACACCCAGCTTTGCAGGAAGTGAGTTTGGGCTTTATATGCAAGAAAATTGAGTTTTTCCTTCATGTAAAAAATTGGTCCTCAGAGAGGTTTAGATCTTCAACTAAAGAAAAATCACCAGATTTAAAAACAAAAACAAAAAATTCTGTGAGCAGGTTTTAGTTTACCCAGGCTTCTGTTTTTGCTTAACAAACAGCCATAATTATTGGGAAATTGCGTATAAGTCAACACAAGTATTTTGTCTGCTCATGCTAAATTGTGTAGACAAAAAATTTTGCTTAATTATGGGAAGCCAAAACGTTTTAATACAATATATACGTGACAATTAAATGTAAATGTAAGTGACGAATGTTTCTAGTTTTAATTTATGTGGGAAGAGTGAATAAGACAAACATTTCAAAGGGGAAATCATACATGCCAAAAAAACCTATGAAGAGGAGAAAAAAATATATAAAAGGGGTGAAAGAATTGAAATTAAAACATTTTTGGGTGTCTACTTTGTATGTGGTCTTTGTGCTGACAGTGTGAGTTCATTGAGTTCATAATGTCTGATCTTAGTATCCTTCAGTAATTCATCCAAATGACTAAATTATATATCATAAACAAAACATTGAATAATCACATTAATTATTGTAAAACAGTGCAAAATTTGTGCTGTTCAAGCTTAAGATGGTCCCTATTTGCATATAGATAGAAATACACCTTTTTGATGTCACTATATTGCAGCATTGTATTGTACTGTACTGTGACACCATAATGATCCAGCAGGTAGGGAGTGAACTGGAAATCGAGTACTGTGCATAAGTCTTGAGTCACATGTTATTTCTTTACATGTTGGTTACAAGACTTGGGAATTCTTACAGTGGTTTTGAGCAGTAGTTGGTTAATGAAGGTCTTACAAAGTTTTTGTTTGGACATTTGCTGCTTTTTTACTTATTTTCAGTCCAGTACTTGTACCTGACCATTTTGTCGAAGTATTCAACCCTGAACTATGAATCAGGCAAGCATAAAAAAAAGTCCCCTAACCAATGGATGAACAAATAACAGCTTAGAACAAATTTTAAATTGCATCGTTACACGAATTATTACAAGCAACCTGTTGGAAAAACACATCATTTTCCACATTTCTTTAAACAAATCTGAGTAAAATAGAACAGTTTGACAGGCATAAAATTATATTTTTGCATCAAAAAGACGATTCCCAAAGAGCTCTTAGCTGAAATTAGCATGTGTGATGTGCAAAATCTGAGAAAAAAAAGATGTATGAGGCCTAAAAACTATCTGCAGCAGATGAACAGTATCTGAAGATCTGTGGTTAAGAAACATGGGGGGGAAAAATCAGCATAAATTATGATAAGTGTGTATGGAAGCTATCAGGAGCGAGGCACAACAGTATCTACAGCCATCTGTAGAACACAGTGGAGGCTCTGTCATGGTTTGAAGCTGCATTTCAGGCAAAATTGGTGAAATTATGAACTCAGAATGTCAAAATACTTGTATTGCAATACTGGTGGTTTCCTTTAGGGGGGTGCCAGATGTTTGTTTGTCCAGGAGAACCCCCACTTTAGGATTGCTGCTGTTCTCCACTCTGCAGACGGAAGCTAGAAGGCAATCTCAGTTATTTAAAACTCATTAACGTATCATATCTGTTTAGATTAAAAATGTCTTAATATTTTCCTTCAAATGTAAAAGAAGTAGATTGATGAGATCTCATGCTTAATAAAGAAGAAAAACACTAACTGTTAAAAGTCCAGGCGAGTGTTTGCTGACTGTTTTCGTGTCTTCTGTGTGTTGCAGTGGAGGCTTCTGTTCACGGCACCAATGTCCACTGCTCTGACAAAACAATTGAGGCTGCAGAGGCTCTGCTACGCATGGATTCGCCCTCCAGCCTCAAAGAAGACCACAGCCCAGGTAACACACACACAGATACACTGTTAGTGGACCACCGCTCAGGTTTATATGCTCAGTTAGCATAACTGCTGGCCAGTCTAGTAGATCCTCATCGACCCTGTGATGATTCCTCTGTGCAGAAGCGTTCCTTCCACAAAGTGGAGCGACACAAGACTTCCTCCACGCTGCCATGCGGCCTGACATGATCACAGAGTCCGAGGTGGAGATATCAACAGAGGAATGTTGTGAGGAGGAGGATGAGGATATGGCTACGGTTATGGACGATCCGGAGCCAGAACCCGACCACGAGCCAGTCAGAAAGAAGCGAGGTAGACTTAAAAGAGCTGGAAGTTAACTTATCTGTTATGTGGAGGAAGCCAGAGCCCAAAATGTTAATTTGATATCTTTAACTTTCTGGGGGCTTGTTAAACTTTGGGGAAAAAGGAAAATATTCAGTGTTTCAAGCCAAAATTTAAATGCAAAACATCTGGAAGCACTGATGCCAAGTTGTAAATCCAAAACCAGAACCTTGTAATTATGCTCAGTGACTTTATCCAAGAGCACCATCTAGTGGTCAATTTACCTCTGTCTCACAACTGACTTCTTTCAAATGTTTCCCTTCCCAGCTGGACGGAAGCCGAAGACGCATCAGTCAGCCATTTCCAACGGCTCACCGGACGTCGGCATCAAGAAGAAACCAAGAGAAGGAAAAGGTATCCGAGGTATCCATTTTAGCTCTTCCACACAAAAAAATGCTGCTTTCTGGTTAACATAGACAGAAATTCACCGTGCCTGCAGCTGTCGGAAACTCGTACTTTTATTTCATGAATCAGTCAACATCCTTTAAACATTAATATGACCTTTCAGTTAGCTTTTCTCCTTCATGAACTAGACTTTGGTTCAGTTTTATTTATACAGTGCTCAGTGCTTAACTCTCAGCAGCAGTCACCTCAGAATGCTTTGTACAGCCAGGTGAAGACTGAGTCATGTTACAGAGAAAACCTCAACGTTTCATGTTTTTAAGTTCGGTTTCCTCATTTGAAGAATAATTGTGGAGCATTTTTACAAAGCAGTCCAGCAGCGCTGCATAAATACACTGAGTACAGATGTTAATTATCTTTGATTTCCAGCAGGGAGCACCACCTACCTTTGGGAATTCCTGCTGGACCTCCTCCAGGACAAAAACACCTGTCCCAGATACATAAAGTGGACCCAGAGGGAGAAGGGCATCTTCAAGCTGGTTGACTCAAAGGCCGTGTCCAAGCTGTGGGGCAAGCACAAGAACAAACCAGACATGAACTATGAGACGATGGGGCGGGCACTCAGGTAGGCTGTCCCTATCTGGGATTATAATCGGATGTGTTACATTTTTGAAAGAAACAAAGTATATTACATCTTTATGATCCAATAAACACTTTAAATTTGGCAGCGATAAAGGCAACAGTAGAGGTTTGATAAACAAAAATAGCTCCGTCTCTTTAGGATTACCTTGCTAGACTTCACAGAGGCTGATTTCCAGTCCTCTGCTGACATTTCATTTTTATTTTCTTTGAAAGCAGCATCTTATGTTCTGATGCCTTTTCTTCAGATATTACTACCAGCGCGGCATCCTCGCCAAGGTGGAGGGCCAGCGGCTGGTTTACCAGTTCAAAGAGATGCCCAAAAACATTGTCATCATTGACGACGATAAGGCGGAGATTCCTGCTCCAGAGGACCTGATCGGCTCGGACACAGCGGCGTCCTACGAGCGCGTGCCTCCGCCGTCAGACATGCTGCTCCACGCCACCGAGCTGTCATCCTCCAAGAAGCCCAACATCTTGCGGGGCGCTAACAAAACCAACGTCGTCCACACTCCAGTGGCCACAGGCAGCAAGCCAGCAGCAGGAGGAGCGGTGACGGCGGGAAGAATAGTGACGGTCTCCGTGGCGTCGGACGGGAACCAGAAACAGCAGTCCCACGCGGCAATCATCCCGAACGCCACAGGGGCGAGGTGAGGCCCCTGCACGCAGATGTTCACTATGTGGCGTCTTTGCTCATGCGGATCTTTACCCTTCTGACTCTGTCTCTCCTGCAGGACGGTCCGGGTGGCTATGCAGGTGCCAGTAGTCATGACAACATCACTGGGTCAGAAGATCTCCACAGTCGCCATGCAGCAGCCCGCGGGAACAACAGCAGCAGCCGGCCAAACCACTCTGCTCACCAACACCTCGGCTATCGGCGCCGCTGCCGGAAACGCCAACTCCCAGCAGAAGGTGTGCAAAATCAAAAATCGAAAATGATGCAAAACCAAGTTTAGAAATGTGTTTATAACTCTGAGTAATTAAGTTTGTTTTGGTGATGAAACAGTTGAGTCACTGCGCAGCACTGAAAAGATGAACTGATGATGCTTCTTTTCATCAGGTCGTGATCCAGACCATCCCCACCATGGTGCCAGCCACTGCGGAGAACGGAGACAAGATCACTGTCCAGCTCGCCAAGATCATCACCATCCCAGCCCACCAGCTGGCTCAGTGTCAGATCCAGACCTCCACGGGCACAAACAAGCCCGGTGTCGGGGCCTCGCCGGCGGGCATCAGCCTCCTCGGGAGCCCCCTGACTGTCCGCGCCCTCACGCCCGTCAACGTCGCGCCGGGAACGCAAGTGATGAGACTCACCGTGCCGACGCAGGCGCAGCAACAGACTCTGGTGGTTTCGCAGCCGGGCAGCGGGGCGGGCGTGGTGACGGTGTCTGCGGCCAACCAGGCGGTGGCGGCGCAGCCTCGTATCATTAGCGGTGTCATCAATGGCTCAGAGCTGGTCATAGGAGGTGGAGCGGTGGAGAAGCTGAAGGCCGCCGGCGTCCAGGTACAGGCCATGCAGGTGCCGATCCAGCAGAATCAGGCGAATCCAAAAATGGCCCAGAGCGTCAAATTGGAGCCAATGGACTCGGCCGACGTGGCGATGAAGACAGAAGAGCCCGAGTGTTGAAATGCGTCCGTGTCTCCTCTGCCAGAGCGTGCTCGTTTGTACATTTCTGAAGTCATTTCTACTTTTCTTCGTAATAACCAGCAGCAGTCTGTGAGACTTTAAAGACGCCCAGAAGTCTCTTCCCCCCCCCCCACCTTTTTTTTTGTGTGTGTCTTTTCTTCCTGAGCCCGTCTTCACATCTTCCATGTTGCTGCCTAGAACTAATCCGGACTGTCTCAGAGCCGCACAGAAACCTCTCCAACATAGGAAAACAGACTTGAAGGAAAGGGATGTGTTGGGAAAAGGGACCAACTTTTGATCACTACAGTTTATGCTTTGGAAATCTTTCACCGTCACTGACTTGAAATCTGGGGAAAAAAGCGAAACACTACAAACACAAATGAAAGCAAATAATCAAAAAGCAAAATGTGAACCGTCACATTCAAGAGGACCCGGAGGATGGGGCTGGGGTGTAATGCAGCTTTTGTAGAGACAAACGTTAAAACCAGCAATTAGTTTTTTTATTAATATTATTATGATATCACTGTGCCGATCAAGTGTAGGTGGTGCTATGAGAGTGAGAGGAAGAGGCGTTCCCACGAGGAGCGATATCAGACAGAACACGGTCATGTATGTACATAAATATAAATATGTCTGCTATACAGTTTACGGAGCTAATGTTAACAGAACAGCCTTAGATTTTAATTTTCTTCTTCATGTGATGTCTGAACGGTAAGCTGTTGTTTTGTTTTCTTTGTGTTTTGATACCTTGTACCAAGCACAGTATTATTGAAACTAGGGAAACTAATTTTTCTTTCTACTGGTTCTTCCGCCTCCATTTGGCTGTTTTAACGCTCACACAGGTTGAATCTGACAGGCCAGACTGCTCACAGCACATCTGAGGATGTGGCTAGAAAGGATCTTGGCTGCTCCTTTTTCTTTTAATTTTGGAACATTTTTGTGACCCTGCAGTCAGGCTGCATGCAAAAAAACGCGACTGAGCCGATGCATGCTGCCACATCTGAAAATAGGAATGTCTGTAGAAGCAAGAAAGAAATTAATCAAGTTTATGCAAAGATGGCTCACTGTGGATCCCAGGTCACTTTACTTCCAGCTTAAAACGAGGCTCCTGCATTTCATTTTTTTTAATCTGAAAAGAGGGAAGAAGAAGAAGAGACAGAGAAGTTTGTGTTCAGACTGAACTGTTTGTATATTCAACATTTGAAGTATATTCTATTTTGTTGTACTCTTGTTTCAAAGTGTATTAAAGTAGATTTTACTGAAATATAAAGACATTTGAAACCTGACGGCTGTCCCTGCATCACTTATTTATTTTTTTGTTCATTTATGTTGGAGCTGGGAGATTTAGAGTTTGGGTTTAAATGATTATGAAACAAGATAATCAGGATAAAATAGGTAACGCTGTTCTTTTACAGAGCAGTTTTCCCTCCCGTCTACTCAGTTTAGCTCAGCTCAAGCTAAAGATGGCAGAGAGACTTTGTACAGAGAGTCAAACTGTTCACAGAGGCTGCTGTCTGTTGTTGTTTTTTCGTTTAATCAAGAAGTGAGGCACTCAAATGTCTCAGGCAGGCGGCGTTAATCTTGTTTTTCAGTAGTGTGAGAAACCGGAGCTCCCCGAGAAAAGCCAAACACCAGAGGGAGAATTGGCCCCCTGGCTCTGGATGGCCTCACCTTGTCCTCCAATAGCACTTTGAGGAATTGAGTCACCGTGACCAGGATACGTTCTTCAACCCATTTGTAGCACTTTCTGTTTTCTTGCGTTTGCGCAATATCTAATTAGAAGCTGTCTGAGTGATGCTGCAAAACCAGTTCATGCATTCATTTATGAATGTTGCTCTGTGACTGCTGGTTTACTTGTGGTTCACAGGGTATTTACAAGTAGAATGGGAGGCAGAGCCGTCAGCTTTCAGGCCTGTCTTCTGTGGAAGCAGCTTCCAGTTTGGAATCAGGAGACCTTTTTGTCAAAGCTTAATTAGGGATGGATCAGGTGACCCTGAATGTTCCCTGGTTACGCTGTGATAGCTCTAGGGTTTTGCATCATTAGTTATTGTTAATCTCTGGCTCTCTTCCACAGCGCGTCTTTGTCCCTCCCCCTCCCCTCACCCTCAACTGGTTGTGGCCGACCGGTTCCTAGTAAAAGGGAGTTTTTCCTTCCCAGTTTTGTAAAGTGCTTGGTCATAGAGGGTCATCTGATTGTTGGAGTTTCTGTATACCTTACAAAATAAAGAGGCTTGAGGTGACTGTCGGTTTCTGCTGAGCTGCGGTGCAGGTAGATGTTAAAGTTGAGCAATAAACTACATTTTTAATATCCCGAGCTACTTTATGTTTATCAGCACAAAGCTGAACACAAGAAGCAGAAGTTATGTTTTACCATCCGATATGAAAAGGGTCATGTGAGTCTCCTAATATTATTTCACACATGAAAGTGAAAAAGGGTTTGAAGAGTTAAAGAAATTTCACAAATTCTGAGAATCTGAGCCACCTGTAAAAAAGCTGTTTTAGACTATGATCTCGAGCTTTTTGTACATTATCAAACTTTTTTCCCAAACATTACTCCAGGTGTTTGGATCAAACTGGACAAACAGTTGTGTCACAAATACAGCAGTTACTACATACAGTGATAATATTTACTCATGAGAAGCACGCACAGGGCAGCCTTTCTGCATTCAGTTTGAGTTTACTGAACTTTATCGTCGAAGGCGATAAAGACAAGAATCTGGGTGAAATTCAGTTGTGCAAAATGTCTTTGTTTTGACAAATCAGGATTCCATTCAGCTCAATTGTTTTTTTTTTTTTAGGTGAAGCAGAAATCTCAATTATCTCAAAACCTGAACATGGAAATAAAAAAAAGCAAACACTCGTACACCTGGATAAGAAGAGGAAACAGGCCTTTTATCTTTGGAATCAACTCTTTATTGTCATATCACAAGTAAACAACTGAAAGCACATCTAGTTTTAGTTAATTATAAGAAAAAACAACTTTCTCACACGGTTGCAATCATCACACAGGTGGGGTCAGTAGGAATTTGGCCTTAATGTGAAGAAAGGGCTCCATTTCTATTTATTTTACAAATGATTTCATCGGATTTTCAGTTATTTGGTGTTACCTGCCAAGTCTGCACGGGAGGTATCGGAAGACAACAACAAAGACAAAAACATTCCTGACATGCCAAATTTTTAACCTTGCAAACTACAGCTGACTCATCACTGCAGGCAAAGCAGATCAAAAGAGGCATGAGAGAGGGTGCGAGCAGCTTATTATTATTTAGTCTGTAACGTCTATAAAAAGATGTTTGCAGGGAGGGGACGAGAGGCCTGGCTTCTGTTTGTAATCCACCTGTAGAATAAAGTGCCACTATTGACCAATCACATTTGAGAACAATGTGGTAATGTGGAGGTAGACGCTTTCTGTGCACCACAGACAACAGAAAAGATGGACTTAACTTCCGAATGTTAAAACTGAAGCCCCTGTTGATGATCTAAAAGATGGAAAGCGTTTTCTTTTATATCATGAAAAGGGGGCGACGTTTCTGCTCTGAAATTATAGGGTGGATCAAAAAGAATCATCTGATTTCAAAAGGCTTTTAAAGTAACGGACATGGAAAGTTGTGGTAAATATTAAAATGAATGGCTGAATAGTAAGTTTTACATACAAAACGTACGATGTTCACCAATCCTCAACAGTGCGCCTCTCTGGACACACAACAGCTGTCTGCTCGATCGTTATCGGCGAACAGCTGTGGGAACTAAAGCTCTGTGAAATCAGATGATTGTTGTTTTTTTTAAAACACACCCTCAGCTGACAAGCTACTAGTTTCAGTTCATCTTATGTGATCATGAGCTAAGCAACCAAAACTGGCACACAGTTTCCAGTAGTTCCCTAAAGGTAGTTCAGTAGTTCATCTACATCAGATACGAAGGTGACTATGGCTAAAGATCATAGACCACACAATACTGCAGAATGGCCATGTACTAATACTGAACAAAGCATTAAGTCTATTTTGTGAGTCAGAATGGAGGGCTATACGCAGGCTCGTCACATTCGGTTACCAAACGCCAAAATGACGACAGCAAAGACGCTCAGCTCCTGGGTCAGTGTGTGACGTCACCGTGGCTGCGCCCTTCTTTACTACTGTCTGTGGTGTGGAGAGCTTAAGAAGGAACCAACATCAAGTCACAAAACTATCGGCTACTGTCAAGCAACCATTTATCTTTATTAGTTTTTAATTTATCTGCATTCATCAAAATTTCAAAAAATAAAAAAAAAGGTGCATGAACATAAGGTCTTGGCACAGATATGTGTTGTCGCCAGAAAAGAAGACAGCAGACGATGTCCGATGCATTTCCAGACTCTGTCGTGCCCTTTTTTATTTTTTAATACAAATAGAAAAATTCACTCATCATTTTAATCTCTTAACATCCATCAGGTCATTGGTGACAGATCCAGAGTGGGAAACACTCTACCCTGAGTGGCCTGCAGGATGCTAAGAGGTGAAAAACCTGATTCCACCTCATATGTGTGATACTCAGACCATGTCTGTCCTGTAGTGCATCAGCAGCATGAAGCACAGAGTTCTTAAAGTACGTGTGTGCAGTCTGATGACAGGTAGAGCACACCTGCAGCTGGAATATCTCGTGCTGCAGAGGTACACTGTGTCCCATTAAAGTCTTGGCCATGTTTTGGCACACTGTCTTTATCACTCACATGTGACCTCCTGGTCACACAATAAAGCGAGAAGGAGGAAGCGCTAACCTCAACTCCACAGCGTCATCACTTCCGGTGTGCCGGTTTGTTGTTTCCTTCCCACTCCTCCTCCTTGAAGCTGAAGTCACAAACCAGAGAGAGGTGGTCGGACGGATAACTAAAGGACGGAAGTCTGTTTGGCCCGATCTCCTCCTCGGTGGGCATGTCCAAGACGGCATCCACTCTCAGCGTGTCCTTGGTGTACCAGATGTAGTCCAGAGTACTGCAGCACTCCCCCGTGGGCCGAATCTTCCACGTTGTGTACTCCGGCTCCGTCAAACCGTCCCGGCTGAGTTTCTTGTAAGCCGAGTCCAAGCCGAAAGGCGATGTGGCGAAGCGCCGATACACCTCCTCATTTGGGACTGCGTTGAAATCCCCGCATATGAGCAGAGGTATGTCGGCGGCGGGGGCGCCGGGCTGCTTCTGGACCACATTCTGGAGATGCCAAAGGAGGTCTGACCCCTGAGTGCTGCGGAGCCACTCCCAGCCAGAACGAGCCTTCAGATGGGTCACGGCCACGCACACGCATTTACCCGTGATCCGACAGCGCAGCGTGGTCACTATGGCAACCTGCGATCAGAGAGCAGCGAGTTAGAGTGTTGTAGTTTTATTTTTCCCAGAAAGGCTAAAGCTCCAGAAATACTACACCTGACAAAATTTATTTTTTTCCCCACCTGATTGGTTGGAATCCTCATGGCAGAGAGTCGTATGTTGACGCTGTCGAGGAGCTCGAAGCGCGACTCGTCGTAGAACAGCGCGCAGCCGTCAGGGCCGTTGTTGCCCTCAACGCCCAGGCACGGAGACCACGGCTTGGGGCAGAAGTGGCTGCTGTAACCCAAACCTGCCAGCACCGGCTGCAAGGTGTCGTAGTAGTGGTCGACTTCCTGCATGCACACGATGTGGGGGCGGTAGGTGAGGACTTCCTCCATGATGAGGTACTTCCTGCGGGACCAGCTGAGGGCCTCCAAAGGACACATGACAAAATTGTCGAGTCCTTCGCCCAGAGCTGCAGGACAGGAGGAAGTGGGAGACCAGACTTCAGTAACAACATTATCCACCATGTGTTTTGTGTTCCACCAAAACAGACTCAGAAAGTGTGAATATTAAATTTCCCTGAGTGCACTCTACCTTGAGCCAGGATGTTCCATTGCATCACCCTGATGACACTGCTGGGGGCGCCGTCTCCATCACCGATGTGAACAAATTTCCTGTCGAAGCGAGGTGGTCGGTCCGTGAGGGCCTCCTCGCACTGACGAAGCAGCTCCTCTGGATCAGGGGGACATGGAGAGGACCCCTCCTGCTCCATCGACAGAAGGAGAGACAACACTTAATATTTAGATGAAAATATTCAAAAGAAAAAGTCTGAAGACAAAAGAAAAAGAAGAAAACCTACCGGGCAGAAATCTGGATCCAGCTTTGTGAATGCAGGTAGCTGGGGGTTCAGGTGTGAAGAAGGGAAGGGGAGAAGAGAGCTGGTGCTGCTGAGGGGCTGAGTCAGAGCGTTGTACAGCTTCGTGGCCCCTCCACCCATCGGATACACTGGTGAGGAGGAAAATCAAAGCGACAGTGAAGCATGTGATAGGATGGAGACACATCCACCTTTCTAACATGACGTATAAACTGAAGGTAACACACACATCTGTACTTTTATGGAAAGAATAATCTGTTCTTTCCCAGCGTTTGTTGAGCTTCAGCTCAGGTTGTCGTGTAAGGACCAAGCCATCACAGCGTCAGCAGTCCAGATGAAACAAACCCCCAAAGTGACAGCTGCAACTCAGCCTTTTGTTCTGCTTCAGCAGCATCTGTCGGCTTACACGTGACCAAACTCATTAAACCTAAAAATAACACGTGCGCTTCCCAGTGTGTGTCAGAGACTGAGCTGGATTAAACAGTCAGCTAACAAACTCAGAGTAAAACACCCCTTCCAAAGAAGGCTTTGTACCTTGTTAGCACGTTTCTATGCTTGAGCAAAACAAGCAGTCAATGCAGTGACTCAGTGTTTCACACGCAGAAAACCTAAGAAAACAAACGTGGAGCTGGGGACAGATTCTCAGAGGAGCTGTTTGGGTTTCACCGGTGAAACAGAGAGCAGAGGAGAGAAGTTGAAGTGCAGATATCCAAGTTGACAAAAATTTGTATAAAAGTGACAAAAGCTTCCCCCCAAAAATGTTAAACACAGAAAACAACTTTTAGTTATGAATTACAGGTAGCAGAAGCCACACCCTGCTGATAAAAATCAGTGTGCCACACCGCCTGCTCCACGAGTGTGTAACAGCATCTATATGCTACAACTTCAGAAACCAAAGTGGTTCAGATTGGGCAGATGTTGTACCGAGAGACACTGAAAGAGGTGCAAACTAAGCACAAAAAGCAATAATCTTGCATCTCTAAATGTTTTGACTTTCAGCAAGACCAAAGCAAAAAAAGCTGTTATGCTTCAGCATTCCAAGGAGAATTAACAGGCGAAGTAATGCACTCCTCTCTGTAACGCGCACTCCAAGTTCCTTAAATCGGACAAAAAATGTGCTGCAGAGATCAGATTGACCTCTGCTCCGACATAAAAATTCTGACATCCAACTTTTCCTCTCAGCTCTCCGAGACCAGAACTACGTGACTATAAAAGGAGCTGGATGTTTAGGATCCGTGCAGTCTCGCGTGAAACAGACGGAGAACAGCAGCACGTTTAAACAAGCATCTTCATTCTGTTAAAATTTATATTAGTATATTATTTATTAATATGTAACAATAATGCTTTAATTCAGTCACACAGCAAGGCCAGGGTCCTTTTCTTGGAGTGGTGACCACGTAACTTTTCACATAGAAGCGTAAAGCAAAGACTCTGTGTTTACTTACTGAACAGAAATGTGCCAAATATGCTTAAACAAATTTATTTCAAGGCTGACTAAATTAAACCCCACAGTTTTTTTTGTACGTAGCAAAAACCACATGTCCAAAAACTCCATCCTCTCTAATAAGACTTTGCGAGACTAAATTAAGAGCTACTGACGACCAAAACACCCAAAAGAAAAAGCTTCTTCTTACCCAGAGTCTCCATTATGCTCCTCTGCAATGTCCACGGTACTCCTTAGTTAAATGTCCTTAATGGCTCTTTTTAATGCTACCTAACAGATGTGCTGCCTGTCCGCTCGGGAGGCTAAACGTCTGCAGTGTGTCAGGAGACAGTGACAGATGTGCGGTCTGTGTGTGGAAATAACTATGACTTGTCACTGTTGCATATAAAGCCTCAGAGAGAGAGAGAGGAAGAGGAATTATGAAGCGCAGACGTCAGCGGACCATATGGAGCATTAGAGGTCATGTGCCAGACAGAGAGACAGAGAGAGAGAGAGAGGAGGGAGAGAGCGACAAAGTCAAAGAGAGAGAGAGAGAGCGCGGGGCAAACCTGTTGAGTGGCTGATATGACTGACAGATTTACTCTAGCGACTTGGCCCTCGACTAAATATAGAGGTGCACAAAAACACGATAACCCGCACTCATCCTCGCTGATACACCATAACACCTATCACCCGAGTACACTGTGTTAATAGTTTCTAATCACTCTGTGAGAGCACAGCGTGTGAACGTATGGTAACAACTTCCTCATTTTGGCTGTTGTAACAGCAGCGCACACGCACACACACACACGACTATAATTAACCATTCAGCAGTGCTATGACAGTTTTTTTCCACACATGCTGTAGTTTTCCAACCTGTCAATCAACTTTTTTGACACAAACAATAACAGGCTGCTGAAGCATTTACAGATCTTACACGAGATAACATTCACTGGTTTATCTGGTAAATAGACTGGTTCTTATAAATGGACTGCTTTACACAACTTGCTTCATTCACCCATTCACACAAGCTCCTTTTTTCTATGCTGTTTCTAGGGGCTTTCTGTCTGTGTGAGCAGTTATTGTACAAGCACTAAATGCTGCAATGTCCATTTCAATGTGCTTTGTGCAATTTGAGAGAATGGAGTAATCTGGAGTGACTGTTAAGTGATCTTTTCACTGTTGAGAGTTCACTTATTTGGATGTTACAGTAACAATAGAGACATTCTATTCGTTACGCAGACCTGATCACGATGGATCCTCTACAATTAATTCTCTGTTGTTGGGCTGTTTAAGTGCAGGGCGACACACCCGCCGTCACGGTGTTTCAGATATTTATCAGAGTTCGACTGACTGGTTCACCGAGCGCCAGGTCGATTCTTTATATAATGTCTCTCGTAGCACTACAAATAAACAATTATATATATATATCAATGAACTCTGATTTGTAAATTATTAATTCATCCTACTACTTTTCGAGCATGTAAAGTGTGGGGTATCTCGAGATGTTAGTGGAAAAGCAGTTTATTTTTTTACTTTGCTTTTCTGTTTTCCATGTATTCTATTTTATTTATTTTTACATGTTCGAAATCAAAAACAGTCAAATGCTCAAATATTTTTTTGGACATGGAAAAATAAAACTCCCCTGGGACAGTATTCATTTCTCATATCTACGATCACTTCTGATCTTATACTTGGGTCACCTTAAAGGACGCGTGCAGCAAGAAGACCAATATCTGTTTAAAACTATTCTGTCGGGACGAATGGTGAGCATAGAAAATGAAGAAAGGACATCATTGGCAGACTTGCTCCAACGCTGCAGGCTTGGGACTGTTAATATGTTTATAAAAGAAAAGAGAGAAATACTCCACATATTTCTGACACTCCCTGCAAGGTACCAAGTGATCAGGGCTGGGGCAAAAGCGCAGCTCTGGGGTTGGCAATGGCACACCAAGGAAAAAGGGGGGAGGGGGATTAAGGAGTTCTGGCTCACCTTTTTGCATCACTGTAAGTATTTAATGATATAATATTAAATAACATTACCTACAGAGAAAGTTTTCAGCTAAAATAACAGATAGAAAGCAACTCATTCAATTTTGAGAGACAGACTCCCCCTCATCTACCTCACAGTGGTTTGGTCCACTTCTTACCTTTACCTAATGCCTTTACTTTGCAAATTGTAATTGTGCATTCATCTAGATATTCAATAGTAAAAGTAGATCTATTTTTGCTGCTGTTCACCTGCATCAGCTGAACTTTTATCGGTACATAAATCTGGTTTCAAATGTTTTCTCTTTATATAATGTCTCTAGATACTTTTTATGTGGCAGCCTGTATTTTTCCAACCTGCCAAATGCATAGAAAGAAAAGCTGCACCTATGGCAGTGCATCTGCACCGGACTGCATCAGGCAGCTGCAACTAATAAAACGACCAGTCTGCAGGCAGATGATGGTAATAACTATAATGCAGAACACCAGGTGTATATTTTATATTTCTGTGCAAAAGCATTAAGAACATATCAACATCTAAAGGCAATTAGGTGAAAAGTGGAAAAACAAATCCGACAGAATCATTAGAACGACGGCAATTTAGCTGGAAGAACCAGATCTAGTATTTTGAAACACCTCAAATTAAACGCAAACAGATAAACACCGGTGCTGGAAAATGACTGTGTAAACACATGGAACCAAATTATACTGAGCACACATGAACACATTTTTTTTTAATAATCAAAAAAATTTGGAAAAAAAAAAAAGTTTGAATCTTGTAGAAATCGGTCGGGCTACATTAAATCTGAGGATGGACAGTTTCAGAGTACTAGCTGAAGTTTCTATATCCACATGTGGTGTAAAATTGTGTGGAATTAACACATGTCCAAACATAACTCAGTTTAAAGTCAAATATAATATAAAGGACGGGGATTTGCAGGGATAGTAACCTATAGTTACCTAACGTCTGTACTTTGCAAATTGTAAACACCGGATGTACAGATCTTTTATTGATTTTTTTAATAGATTTATTGTTTGTTATTTTTCCAAACTACATTTTATTCACTCTGTTACTTTTCTGTGGAATCTTTGCTACTGTGTGGCTGCTGCATTGTTACAGAGCAGCTGTTTATAGAAGCAGGAGCTCGGTGCACATTAAAATCATCATGCTTCTTTTCTAGTAGAAATTCTTCCGAGTTGGTAGCTGTCTACACCACATCAGATGTTCTGTGAGCCCACAAAACCACATTTGTCGTAGTTTATCAATAACAACAAAACATCTAATTTTAGAGGATGACTCACACCTGCACGCTGACCATGCACAACCCATACCTTAAGCTTATCACAGCTGATTTTAACAAAGAGGAAGTCATTTTTAACTGTAGCAGAATCACGAACATCAAGATCACTGAGCATTCACGTGCACGCCGCTGTGTGGTCAGGATGACTCACATCCTGTAGACGACCTGTAGTAAATCTATGTAACTGTGACTAAGTGCACGAGTGTTGGCAGGAGGGAGGGGCCAGAGAGTTGTCACTGGATCCTCTGGTGGTGTATTGACATTTCCATATTGAGGGCAGCTGCCTTGTCAGATTTCTGTGAGGGGGATTTTATGAGTTTGTGCCTTTTAGAGGAGCTGAAACAGCTTTAACTACGTGTGTGATCTTGTGATGTGAACGCACCACTGCTGCTTTTAAGTTAAATTAGGAAACATTTGA